ATGAAGCTTTTTAGAAAGAGTTGGGACAGACACGTAAAATATATTGCCAATGTAATGCAATATTTTTTGTGGATTTCCTGCCATACAGAAGATGGCATTACATATCAACGTCCCAGGGAGCTGGAAGATTCTTGTAAGAAGCTGGCTGAATTATAGAAAATTGTCGTTTTGCAGAAGGATATATCTATGCGTTCTTTCTTCTTTTCTGTTGGGTGATCTSCTAGCATTGATGCACATTTACGATCCTGTATGTTCTTACTGATCTGAAATACCAAGTTTTGTTTGCTTCTTCCAGCACTGAAGTTCACAGGTCAGGAAAGCCATTACCTTGCTGCTTTGATTATGCATCCAGTTATGTAATTCTCCCCCCAGAACAGTTGTTTAGTTGTGTGTGGTTTGTGAGGACATCTCTGCATTTCCTGCAACACATTCCATTTCCTGATGGCAGCCATTGGCCTCTCTTTTCATGGTTATGGTATTGTTTGACCACTGCCTTTCAAAGACAGTCTGGAGGAGAGAGCTGATCTCCTAACTGAATAAGTCATTTTATTCATTCATTTATTTATACACTAAGAAATTTGTTAAGATGGAGTGCAGAGAGACCCCTTCTTGAAAGTCAAGCAGGCTTGCCTAATTGTGATTTGTGAAGCTTTAGAAAGAGKTTCCCAGGGGAACTCGTGGAAGACATGGTTCTATTATGTGTAAAGCTGCCTTAATTAATCTTGTCTGCTATYATTTTTAGTAAMCTGMYKAAAACTATTGCTTTTTTCATTTATRAAGTCTAAGGAATTTCAACCCACCTTGATGTATCTCAGATACAGAATGAGGTTCTCTGATAGGTTGTGTCTAACTCTACCACCTGCAACTTATATGAAAAAATATATATAAAAGCTTAGCAGTTAAAGATGTATATAGTACAGTGTGTATCTGGATCACTTTTCCAACCATTGTTCAGATCTGAATTTAAGCTGCAGAGTTAAGTGCACAGAGCAAGGTGGCAAAATTTTCCAGGTGTCCAGCCTCTAACTAGAAAACTTGAGCTGCATTATTTCACTGCAATGTTTTCACTGAGTGTTCACTGTGCCCTTTTTGGTAACCACCAACAACTGAATTTCTGCCTTTTYATTATAAATCCCTCAGCACCATAGTTTATACTGTAAAGGCCTGCTGTTTCTAAGATAGTGTATGTTGAATATAACTTTGATTTCMGTCAAAGTACTCATTCATTTGGACTCTGGCAGAGTAGTTTTCTCATCTTCCAAGACTCAAACATGTACATATTTTTTTAATGTGATTAAGGGTCTTTTTCCCAAAGAGAGTTACAAACTCTGTTTCACCCAGTCTAAATGAGGTGGATTCAGCTCCTGTGTTTTGTTCAGTGGGACCTTGAAGCTGCACAAGGCCAGTGTCTTTTATTTTTCATTTGCTTCTGCACATTTAGTGCCTCATCATTGTAGGGAAATGTCCGTTTCTCAAATTCCTGCTGTTAAAGTGAGTTTTTGCTGTGTTTATGTTGAGTATAACAGTCCCTACCCTTGTGTGGCCTGAGCATCCAGCAGGATGGATCACACCTGCAGCTGTGGATGTGTGGACAATCAGGAGGAACTTCTCAATGAGAATAGGATTAGTACTGAGAGATTTAATTCCTTTATCTCTCCAACTGATAAAACATCCGTTGTTTTAGCATTGGCTGGCATTTTCCTGTCAAATCAGATTTCTTTGAAGACTCTGGAAAACTGTTACCKGAGTGTAAATGCGATTAAGCTGATGCTGCAGTTCTTTGTTATGTGAGCTATTAAGATTCAGCACCTGAACAAGTCCTTTTATAAGTCAGAATGAAAAGGAAAAGCATTGTAAGAAAGTCAGACATTTTAAGAAAAATGCCTGAATAGATTTGGTGGCAGTTCATGACTGAAAAAAAAAAGGGTACAGGATTTATGATGGAAAAGCCATTGTTCACTTCTGTTAAATTGGCTTTATCTGTGTCAATTTGCTGCTACAAGACATGGAAAATAGATTTTAGATATTTTTTTTGTCCCCAGAGATAGAAATAGATTTTCCCATATTGAAGATTTTGTTGTACCTTTTATTCTGTGCATTCTCTGCAGAAGTTCCGAGATCGAAAAACATGCAACGCACCGAGCAGRAGAATTGTTTTTGCGTAGAGCCTCTGCTTGCAAGGCACGAAGGGAGTTTTGTACCAGAATGGAATTGGTTTTCAGCACATGTCATGCATTTGTCTTTCAGCTGCCATCCCTGCTGTGCATGGCTCTGTCCGTGGACTCMGCTTTGTACCGCTGGCGGCGACTGGGAGCTCAAAATCCCTCCCAGGCTCCATCAGAATCAACACCWCTGCTGCTCTCTGTCAGAGAAAAACCCAAACTCAGTCTAAACAAATGGAGGATTGTGCTGCCTGACAGTGGGAGACAGTGGAAACACTGCAAACAAGCTTCTACATTTTATTCTGGGAACAGGATACGGACCACAAAATACACATGGTTCAGTTTTTTGCCCCAAAATCTTTTTGAACAGTTTCACAGGTAAAAAAAAATAATCATTCGATGATCCATGAGATTCAAAAACTCTCTCTGAAAAAGTGGTATTTGAGTATGAGGAGAAGGGCTGCTTTTGTCATTGCAACAGTACTAAAATTCGGGTGATGATTATTTATAATCAAATGTCACTCGGTTCATACTGAAATGGAGGATTAAAAGAAGTAAACACTGGGAATTTTTAACCACTGCTGTGCCCAGCTTTCTTGTTTGAGTGCTGCAACTGCTCTCTATGTAAAAAAAAAAAAAAAAAAAACAAGCTTTTAAAAAAGAAATTCATCTGGTTTTGTGTTGCATAAACCTTTGACTTTTAAGAAAACAAAAAAACACATTTGAGAGTGTTGGATCTGTGGATTTAAGCAGTTCAATTTTGATATATTTTTAACATCATGAAGTTAACAACCTATAAATAGTATCTATGTATATGCAAATGCTAGGTCAGGTTTCTTTCCAAGTGCTGGTTTGTAATTATGTAAAACACCTCAGCATAAAGAATCAATTCAAAAACATGCCCAGGGAATTATCATCAGGATAAAGAGAAATGGAAGTTTTATATCCATCTCTAGCTTTGAAATTTTTATTCTGTGTACTGGATTGGCCCATTCACAATACAACCTTCCATTGGCAGAATCCTTCATGGATTCCTTATGGGGACATTTCCATAATTCATTGGTTTGTTYTTTAAAGTTTGTTTGGCTTTTGTTTGATTTTGTGCTCATTTTCAAGGCTGAGGCAGTGAGGGGTCATTGAAGACCTTGGAGATCCCAGAGACAGCATTTGTAACATGAGAGAAAACTGGAGCTAGCTATAACAGCATGAAAATGTATCTCACAGCCTCTTCTAAATAAAAAATTAGCACCTTGGTTAAGCTTTCCTTGGAGAAAGGAAAAGGAGGGTAGAGGAGTGAAATTATTAATGTTCCTTTGACACAAATGGGGATGTTCATTAAGGAAAGGATACATTCTAACTTCTGACCGTTTTAATTTATTTTATGCCTATTTAGGGTGGGCAATCTTTACTTCTTCTTCCTGGTGGTTCTGAACTGGTTCCCACAAGTGGAAGTTTTCCACAGGGAGATTACCATGCTGCCTCTGCTTGTGGTGCTGCTTGCYAGCATGACTAAGGATGCTGTTGAAGAATACAGAAAATACCAGCATGATAAGACAATAAACTTCACTAAAACCAGAGTATACAACAAGTAAGTAAACTAAACCAATTATTTTTTTCTTGCTTTTGTTGTGATGGAAACTTCTCATCTGATTTTACAGCAATTCCCTCACTGACCCTTTAGAGAACCGTAAGCTTGAAAAAACTGTTACAAAAGATTTTTTTTTTTTTCTGCCTTTAAAAACGCCTTATTCATCTCACTTAAAACATCTCAAAATCACTGGGGCTTTGTTTCCCATCACAGCAGTGTGTGCTGATATACAGGTTCTCACTCCAAGTTTTCAGAGCAGCTTGCCAACACACACATCATCCTCTCCTGATAGCAGAAGGGTCTGGAGGATAAATGARACTTGTCCGAGTCTGGCAAGGAAAACTGGGACTGCTCAGAAAATTGGAGGGATGTCTTTCAGACGTTTCACAATGAAACCACTAGTACAGAAATTAATGATCAACTACATTCAAAGTGAATCATAAYCGGGAGATAAAAGAAGTTCCAGAACTTCCAGTAAGCGAAGGGATCAATACAGGCTGGCTTTGGGGATGGTACAACACCAGCAGGAAGCTGTTTGCTCACTACTGACTCAGAAGGAAGAAATATTTTCACCACAGTTCTTTTGTTGCAACATTTCGATTTCATCAGAGTTTCTTGTCYAAGTACCAACTTGACTTGAGACTGCTTAGTTTGTCACTGTATAATGAAGCAAATAGGAGTTTTCATTTAAAAGAAGTTTAAATATTTGCATGCTTTCCTTTTTTCACCTGCTCTTAAGCCCAGGACATAGAGAAAATAATTGCTATGGTTTGCGTACAGGTCATTAGCTCTTCTGGAAATTAGCCCTCATCTGTGCTGACCTACTTATGTGTCAGAGGAAGAGGGACCAAAGGGGAAAAGAAAGGAGAGAGTGGAAGGGATACCTGGTGAGAGAGGGAGGTTTGGGGTCTGTCAGGGAAGAAGGATCAGGCTGAGGAGCAATCCAGGTGCATTGCTTTTGTCTGTGTGTAATTCCTGCAACTATTGAATCACAGGTTTGCTTGGCTTGGGGGAACGAGGGTTGGTTGTTTGTTTAATAATAATCCATGCTATGGTCATGAAAACAAACAATAGATAAAGGAAATAAAAGAGAAATACTGTCTGTAGCGAGMCTTGTAGCAATCTTTTGTTGACATCTGGGACACGGAGCTCTGCCCATCACCTTTGAGCTTCCTGGCAACTCCCAGGGTTGTAAAGCGATTCTGAAGCTCGCGGAGTGACCTGTGAAAATTGAACGTGTGCTCTCAGCTTCGCCCCTACTCCACGTTAAAGCAGAGCCTCTCGGTGAGAGCAGCGAGTCAGTGCCAGGGAAATGGTCTGAGCAGGGCCTGCAGGCATCTGCTGACAGGAAGAACCAAACATTCAGGATGCTTTTGGCACAGGTGAGGCGCAGCCGCCCCAGCAGGCTCAGGAGCTGGTGCAGCTGAGTCAGGATGAGCCCCATCCCTGGGCAGCCCTGGGCTTCGGACATCTCAACCCTTCTCTGCCCCTCTTGGCAGCTCATTTGGATTATTGAACTCTTCTAACTTYGTTGGTTTTCAACTTGAAGCTGCTTTTGGAGAGGAGAAGATGTCAAGGAGAATTGTTTCGGGCTGCTTCTCTAGAATGGTATGGAAAAAACATTTTTTCAAGGAAACCTGCTGCGGATGTGGTGCTTCAGACACAGAAAACCAAAATGAGGACCTGGAGAACAGAGGAAAAGTAAGGAAAAGAAAGAAGAAAAATGAAAATAAACGAGTGGTCATCTCCAATTTGCCCTTTGGAAGTAAGAAGTGGAAGGAAAATCCGAACAGATACTATGACTCCAATGAAATTAAGACCACAAAATACACCATCTTAACTTTCCTCCCTAAAAATATCTATGAGCAGTTTCACCGCCTTGCCAATATTTATTTTGTGTTCATTGCGCTGCTGAATTTTGTGCCCGTGGTGAATGCTTTCCAACCAGAGGTGTCTGTGATCCCAATTTGTGTTATAATGGCCATCACAGCCATTAAAGATGCTTGGGAGGACTTCCGGCGGTACAAATTAGACAAAGAAATCAATCACATGGGATGCTACATCTACAGCAGGTGAGATTCATGTAGCTTTTATTACCAAAAATGTTGGCTTGAAATCTTTTATCAATGGGTAGGCTTTTTGCTTAAGAAAAATTAATTAATAACTGCTGAAAAATCACAGTGATTAGGTGAAAAAGGGAAAAGCCATGGCCACCACATGTAACCTGGTATTTTTTTTTTTAATTAGTGTTTTTTGGACTGGCAAATTAAGTTTGAGTTTCATGATATTGCCATGTCTATCAGCCTTCTAGTGCACTGAAAATAGGTGCTTAAAGAGCTACAAGCAGCTGAATTTCTAAAACATTTTCATGAGGGTTTAGTTCTCTCAATAGAAGATAGCACAGAACAGGATCTGTCTTGGGACTTGTTTGCATTTTAGATGCCAAGAAATCTCTTAAAAACCTGGCCCTTTGAACTACATTTAATTTTATACTCTACACTGTTGATGAGCTTTYAGTTATTTTTTCTTTCTTAGGCAGTATGTAAAAGGAACCTGTAAAAACARAGTCTAGAAAGGAAGGATAGTAATAGATGCCTCTGTTTAGTCACCTCTGAATGAATTAACTACGTGTGTCTGTGCTCCTTTCTTCAAACTGTTTCATGACTTCTTGCTTTTAGGACATTTGGAAGTTTGAAAATTATGTTTTATTGTATCAAAACTGTTGTCTCAGCAAAGTAGAAAATGACTTCTCCTTGTTAAAATATCACATCTGGGAGTCTTGTTAAAATATCACATCTGAGAGTCAGAAGTGCAAAACCTTCCATCTCTGAGGGTGCCTGTCATCCCTCAAATTCATCAACAGTGCTTTATACAATTTGTGCTTTCACGAGCAAGATCTTGCAGATCTCTGGCTTTTATCACAGGGGGCTGTCATTTCTGTTTGTTTCTCCTGCATGTGTTTGTSAGATTTTTATTTTTATATCCTTCTGCTTAAACAGGAAAGCAGATTTGCTTGTTTGGGGGCTAAACTGAGGCCCCATATAAATAATGACTTGTAAAAAAAACCTGCACTGTTCTCCTTGCCAACTTTTCCAAAGAAGCAGGCGTTTTACAAGTTTCTAAATATGGTGGATTTTAGGTTTCTTCCCTTCTGTGGTGAAGACTGTCAATAATTGTAGCTCTTTGGGTAGGTGGCAAAACTGCCTCTTCTGCCTATCTTTGAGATTGCAATCTGGTGAAATGTTTTTGTTTTTCCAGTGTTGCATTAGCCCATGAGGCAATGGATTATTTGTTAATACTTGTTAAAACCAGTATGGGACAGGGGAGGTGGGGCAGGAGGTGCTAATGAAAAAAATCTACAGAAGGATTTTATTTATTTCCTCTCTACATACAACAGTCATGTCAGTTTAGATCTGAAAGCCCTTTACCACAGGAACATGAGAAATAGGGAGTACAGTAAAACTTGTTTTATCTAGGAAGAACTATCCATCATGGAATTACAGCAGMTATTCAGATTCAGGTTCAAGCTTTAGCCGTGAGTGCTTTGTTATGCAGAAACACAACATGGGCCTCCCTTAAAATTGGTTATTCCATCCCATAAAAAAGATTTGGATCTATGAATCAGTCTCATCAAGGATCTTGTTTTTCACCAARGTTTTATGGCCCAAATGGTGATGTAAGGGAAAGGAAAATAAGGGCTTCAGACCACGGCATTCACCTTGCCTGGAAAAAAACRTGGATAATAACAACTGCCATCAGATCAGTCACTACAGCTTATTATGAATAATTTTAATCCGGCTTCTCTGGTGCTTTGGGAAGCTGATATTTCTTGTTCTTCTTGCTAGCTGCAAAGTCATGGAAGAGCATGTCTTCTCATTTTCTTCCTTATGAATAATCTGCTAAAAATAAGTAATTTTTTAACAGGTGAAAGTCTTTTTGAGACACTGCAAATTTTGCAAATCTTATGGCAGCAAAAAGTTATTTTTAATACAGCAACTGATCTTTCATCCTAAGATGAAATATTACTTAGATTTTAAGAGGTRCTCTTGGAGTGTATATTGTCTTTATTTCAGATTTTAATAAGAACTCTGGCACCTGTTCCAAAAGAGATATAAAGGCAAACCAACCTTTTCCAAATGCTGAATGTTCTCCAAAATTTTCTTGAAGACCAGGGTAAATTGAGTAACTTTCCTTCTTTCAACATAGAGCAAGGAAAACTGAAATTAAATAGGCTGGCCTGTAAACACATTTATTCYAATTTTCTTTTCACAGAGATAAGCTGGAATGGAAAATCCAGTCTGCTGGTCAAATGAAAAAAAAAATACACTTCCAGTAGTGTRTTTMAAGAATGTTTAATTGAGAAAATGGRAAACAATTAATAGGCATTAAAGTGTCTTGGGGACAATGCAATAACCTCGATGTTTGATTGAAGAGTTTGTACTTTTGGAACCAAAACTTTTGGAATCATCCTCTGTAGACAAACTGCTGTGCTGTTGGAAGGAATCACACCACACCAAAAGGAGAGAACAAAAAATTGAATTGTAGATGGTAGAGACCAATGTTCCAATGTCTCCTTTCTCATGGTGTTCTTTAAAATATACTTTGTCTCCTTTAATTTTTTCAGAGTCAGGCAGTCTTCCCTTACTAAAAACTGCCAAAGCATTTTCTATGATACTATGCTTTATTATCCCTCTCTAATTCCAATTAAATTTCTCAAGTCACCTGATTTTATGCAATCCTAATTAGTCTCTATCCATAATGATTATAATCTTGAAATATGTGTGATTTTTATCACATTTATTTTATTGCACCTACACACCTTTTAGTGAATATTGGTACACAGTTTGCTCTTTTCATCCTTTCAGTCAGTCMCTCCAAACCTACCATGGTTATTTCTCTCTAAACTCTCTCCAATTTGTCATTAACTTGCTAACAGGGGCCAGCACTGGATGTGCTCCACAAACCTGAAAGTGAAAGTCAATGCAATAGCTGCTAAAAGCTATTATTTAATTTTCTTGAAGTTCCGTAATATTCAAGGAACTAATTGATATGTAATTATTATATAGCTTGGCTGTGATATACCCCGAGGGTTATATCAGGTTCTGTAAATACTCCATAGCATCCAGACAGGTTTTTGCATCAAATTTACATTTCTGGAAAATTTACCCAACTTTTTCTCAGTGTTTCAGTGCACACTAAGATAGAAATGCAAGGGCTATGCACAGTTCAGTGTGGCACAGCAGCAGCCACAAAAACATTAACRTTGTTTAATTCATATTGCTTAATTTCAAAACCTAAATTCAGATATATCTGAGGCAGTGATTCAGAGAAGCCTTGTTTATGAGCTTTGAACCATCCTGTGGGGCTGCAGGAGAAGCAGGCAAGCCAACAGGCATCCTGAACAAGGTATGAAAGTTCCTCTGTGATGTTTTCAGACCCTGTGGTTTTCAGGTAATTCCTACAAACATCAATCTCCTCTTCCTCTCAAAGTCCACTGATGTCTGTGGTACAAATAATTTAGGCTGGCCTTGACTCTGACTGGCTCTTTGTCTGCTTAGTGTAAGGTTTTAGAACATTTAAAGATTTTTTGCATCAGCACTAACTGGGTCAGCCCTAGAGCAGTGGTATGAAAAAAGGAAAAACCAAAGAGCTCATCACTGTGTTGCACAAAATCAGAACTGCCAAGAGCTGAAAAGCTGAAAGTGGCTTAAGCTGAACTCACTGATTTGAAAGAGAATTAAAATATTTGATTCRATTGAAGAATTGTAATTCTGTGCTGCAGTTCTCTCTCTGACWGCAATRRGGATTTGCTTGCCTACAGGTGAGCRTAYAGACAGGGTACTTTATATTTTCTTAGGGAAGCTGGGCAGCAAAGGCAAAAGCTGCCGTTCTGTTTTGAACCTCCTTCATAGGCTCTGTTCAGCTGGACTTCTGAAAAGGGAGAGGTTGCACCTCCCCTGGATGCTCCCCATGTCTGGGACAGTGCCTGGGGCTGGCCAGTGGCCAACAGAGGTGTGTGGCATCTGGAAGAGGGCACAGAAAAGGGCAGGGAACATGCCTGAAAACAAGAATGGACCTACTGTCAAACTTCAGAGATTAAAGAAAAAAAAAAACAATTTTTCTCTGGACCCAGAAATACCATATGCATGTCATTCAACCCAAGGTGAACCTGCAAGTTTGTAAAATAGAAAGCAGGATGAGAGGAAAATCCCCTCCTGCCAAGGGCACAGCAAGCAGAAAGATTTTTTGCCAACTCTTTAATTTAAAGTGTTGTTCAGCAGCTCTGAGTTTTCACTTGTTAGAGAGCCTTTACTTTCTGCTATATTATTTTTGTTTTCTAACAAAGCCTAACTTTAAAGACTACGAGCCTGCTGAAGGCTTTAGGGGGTTCATTTTATACACAAAAACAAAAGGTCTAAATCCTGTGTCCAACACAAAATCTCACCCCAAGCAAAATTGCAATCAATTTTCTAGCAATRTCAAGGCTTCTACAGCTCTGTGGTAAACTTCCTGGGCAGTGCAGGAATCTCATCAGCTGGAGGATCTCCTGAATGGGCTCATTCCTGTGGCAGCCACAAAACCCAAACTGGGATTAGTTGTGAGCTGTTACCCCCAAGTGGGACTGGCAATGGGCATCCTCTGCTCTGTCAGCCCAGTAATTCTCTCTGTGCTTCATGTGCTGTGGAAACTTTGCACCTGGTTTAGCTGTGAAACCTGAATTAACAGTGGCRCAAACAGTGCCTTCTGCTTGAGGAATCCTTCAACATCCCAGGGAGATGAGAAAATGTCCTCAACCAGCAGCAAACTCAGGGGTGCTGTGTCTCTGTGACACTGCTTGAAACCAGGGCTACCAAAATAATGAAAAAATTAAAACACCTTGTGTGGAGTGGGATGATTTATGAATWTGTTGATTTATGAATTATGGGGCACGATTCCTAACTGACCAAATGAAAACCAAAAATGTCAGCACTCAGCTGGGCCAGGCAGCACCATCTGAAAGTGGAAGAGCAGAGAAGGAGAAATGGTTGTCAGTCAGGGGAYATTGCCACAGTGAGGATCCTTGCTCTCTGTGGAACAAAATCCATARATACATTACTAAAGCTACCACTGGTTTGGGTATTGCTTTATCAGAGCTTTCTTCAAGATCTATTACCTGCCAAGGCATTTCAAGCTGCTTCACAGAAAAGGTGCAATGGCTCAGCAGACAGCAGCAGGAGCTAATGACTAAACATTAAGACCAAATAAATGAGAATCTGTGGTTTTGGCTCAGAGACCTGCAGAATCATGGTCCCGTGGCATTAAGATCCATCCTGACTGTCTGAACTTTTAAAATAGCATTAAAACCTGGAGAGTGACAGGTTTCTACCAGGAACTACATGGTCATATAAAGATGGGACTACCAGAAAAGCTGATGTAGGCTGTGCTTTCCAGAAACTTCTCAAGTTAATGAGAGTCCCTAGAAACTAATGCTAATGATTAGGAGAAATTGAGTGACCTTGGAATTACCTGTTCATTCCAGCTGGTTCCAGGAAGCGTTGCAGCAATACTACTTTCTTCAAGGCAGCAAAATACTAAAAAAAAAAAATTCCTAAATACAACAATCTACAATTTACAAAATGAGCCTAGTAAAGTCTAAGCAACAGGCTTTCACCTCTGTTTTATTTTAGTTCTTCAAAGGTGAGTTAAAAGAAATCTAGAACTATTTATTTGGACAAATAATGCATTTATAAAGTTCTGGTACTGACTTAAAGTAAACTTCAATTGGTTACTGAAGTTGAGCACTGGCTTCTTTTATCATTGAGAGAATAAGTTCCTTGTTACTGCTATAGGCAGTTTAAGCACATAAAAAGACAGGATCTGTTATCCATGAGGAATTGGGAATGTCAGTTTGATTTAAGTGTAAGTTCTTTCTGAGACTTTAGAAAAATTTCATTCCCATTATTTTTTAAAAGGTGCTTTTGCTGTCTTAATGTAGTGTTCAAATTCTGAGAGTTTGGGGCTCTTGGGAGGAGCTGGGTGCAGGATTGGCTGCTGCTTTGCTGAGGTTCCTGACACAAAACCATCCTGCCACCCTTGGAAAAACCCACACCCCTGTGGCACCTTCCCATGCCCAGACAGGATCTGCAGCTCAGGGACATTTTCAGCCACCTGTGCTGTGTTCTGACCTGTGTTCAGCTTTCTCAGTCAGTTCCTGTCTGGTCTAGTGCCTCCCTCAAGTCCCAAAGCTGCTCTTTTGCTGTCTGTTTTTTAGGTTTGTGGCAGTAGCTCCTAAAGGTGAGGTCATGGCCATGAAATGGTCTTTGACAATATTTTGTGAGSGGTTTGCATATAAAAGCTGGTATAACCTTTGATAGCATAAAACTGAGATTTCTATTTGCAAAAATGGGCTGTGAAAGGAAAGCAGCTGTGGGAGTCAACCTGTTGCCCCTGTAGAAACAAGATCCCAGAATATTGGTATTTTTTATGCAATAGGTGATGATTGAAGGAAGCCATTTACACATAYAGCATTCTAGCAAATTTACATACAACAAAATGTAAGTATTTACATTTGTCTCTTGATGACACTGATACATTTTCCTAGGTATCATGATCTGGTGACAGTTTAGGGAGTGCAGAGCAAATGATATCTTCATTTCAAACTGCAAAGAATACCGAGATGGAGTTTGCAATAATTCAAGGGAATAAAACTCCCTGGACTAATCGGCTGATAAAATGCTTCTCRGTGACAAAGACTTCTGAAGACTTTTTACTAAGAAAACTTAGTCTATGCTGTGCTATACAGTGCATGTGAAAAATTATTTAATTTAATAATAATTTTTATTTCCTTCCATTCGCCATCATTTATGATCCAGTTTTTGTTTGAGATTTATCTTTATTGAATCCAAGAAAGTGAAATCAATTGTTGACACAAAGTCAATAATTTATTCAAGTTCCCCCGTGATCTCCAACTGYAGCAGGGTTTTTTTATGGCCTTTTTTTTCCCAGAAATGACTTCATAAAATCTGTTTAGTTCAGTCCTTCTGGTCAGATTTGATGAGTTCAATAACAGTTCTGGCAGACTTCATTTTGACTGTTCAAGGCCTCTTTCCACTGGCACTATCCTCTGATGGGCATCATCATGATATCCATTAGCAAGGGAAYGCTTTTTGGATGTGCTTTTGACAAATTGCCCGGTAAAGGAGAGAAGGGACTGAAGAACTGTTATCCTACACCATGTCTGCAGTGTGCCACAGAGTCAGAAATCCACATTCCCACCAACTGAAAACCACCACATCTTTTTTATTTAAATGGTTCAATACATTCGCCCTTCTCKTCTGTTTCTCGTCAGACCATCTTGGATTTATGAAGCTCCTCTGTTTATTTAGCAACCAGAGCTTGTGCTGTGAACTTTAATCGCTGAGCAGAAAATGGGCAGTGTTCCCAGTTGCAGGGATTGCTGAAAGGAAACTGCTTCATCTGAAAAATCTCGTTAGACAACTAGGCCAGCGCTGCCATGGGGTGCACCAGTTTCATCRTGAAGTACTTTTCTTCCTTTCATCCACTGGCAATTCCCTACAAAGTTGTAGAAAAGCTTTGTACTATAGGGAATTTTTAATCTTTCAGCTCCAGATGAAGGGTTTTTTGCAGGAACAGAACTGTGTGTTTTTACCAAACTGAATTCTCTTTGGGATAGAGGGACAGTCAGTTCACCTGAATGCAGGTCTGGGATTCTGGCAATCCCTGAGCTGCAGTCCCTGTGCTAAGTAAGGCTTTTCCTCTGATCTGAAAGAGGTCATCAGGCTTTTCTGACTCACTGTCTCCTCTGTAATTAGTGACTGGGCAGAACCCTGAAGCCTTATGTATAATGGAGGTTTCACAGGGAGCTATTGAAAAAAATATTACAAATCTGTGATTTCTATGGATTATTTTTGCTAACCTGGTTTCTTTCATCTGATGTGGARCACAGCCAGCTGGGCAAGGCCCTTCTATAGCATTTTATGAGTGGACAAAATCAGGAGTGTGTTCTGTAAACTTCTGAATTGCKCAAGAGTTGACGTACAGAGAGGTAGGATTGCCCTGCAGAAGCCACAGCAAACATTATATGCAAACTATAAATGGCATCCAAATGTCCAGGATGGCAAGACAAGACATCTGCTTCCTCTAAACTCCTTTTGTACTTTCTCTTTCATGTTTTAAATAAACAAAGAAGTCTTATTCAGAAGGTGTTTTGCCGGGAAATGATTAGTAATTATTCAGTTAATTTGCTTTATTAACTTAGCATCTGCTTTGTAGAGGATTAAATATTCAACATACACTCACTAAAATACTTTTCAAATAGAAATTTAACTAGATTTTTTTAAAATGCATAGCAACATCTAATTAGCCTACACCAAACCTCTGTTCTTCAGTGTGGTCTTTTATGTCTGTKGAGCAAAAGAGAAAGAACACGCAGGTGAGTAGAGTCAGACAAAATGAGAATAAAAAATTCAGRAAAGAAAAATTACTGTAAGAAGAAAAAATATTGCTACAACCCCATCATTTAGTGAGTGCCTCACAAGCAACAGTAAAAGGAATCAAATAATTAGATTGGGAGGCTCTTTCTCTGAATAAAAAATGTGCAGAATTTAACTCTTTGCATAACCTGTACAGGTAGCTGTCAGCTGATGTTGTTTTGCAGACGAGGACATCAGCCCAGCATGARGGTTTGCCTGGCAGCATCGTGGCTGCTCTGCTTTGCAGAAGGCAGGAAAGTGGGTTAGCAGGAAGCAGCCCTTGGCCTGGCTCTGAAGCAGAGCTTGGATGAGAGCTTTGAACTGGAGCAAAACACTTTATCTGCTCTATCACTGCTCCCCTTCTTGTGGAACAAACACTTCAATGAAACACAGTATTCTCCAGGCAATAGATGAGGATGATTAAAAACTTAACCAAAAATGAGACTCTGAGTCATCACAAAGGGACTTTTGTTGTCTGCCTGGTAAAATATCATGAGCATTTTCCCTCTCAYAGAGCAAGGCATAAGATGATTCAATTATTCATACTGAAAAAATAATTTCCTCTCAAGGAGTTAGAGGAACCAAGCCATTGTTGGCAGTGCAGTTTTCCCATTAACTAATTTTAAAGCTTATTGTGCAGTTTTCAGTTTGCTTTGATGGTTTAGAGCGGTTGAAGGATTAATTATTGAAAATGCAATGTCAAAAATGTMTGCTGTTTTCTGAACTTAGTTCGTTGATGAAATTGTAATTTCTTTTCCTTGACCCCTATGAGCTCTTTTTCTTTTATTTAATTTTTTTTAATTTAGAAGTTCTTTGTTTCTCACTTTAACTTTTCCATTAAACTTGGACTCTGGTTGTATTCTTTTTGCTTAATACTAAGGGATTATTTGTCCACTCTTCTGCCTTTTCAAGTTGWTTCTGTGCACTAAACTCAAGATTTGTAATTACCTCTTGAGAGTTATAAACTGGAAAGACCTGAAGCAAGTGTAGATGAGGTTTCTTTTAATATCTATATGCTGGTATTRGAAAGTGYTGGGAAATAGTCACATGGTCAAAARCAATGAATAGGTTTTGGTGAAGTATCTAAATTTCTTCAATAAGATACTCGAAAATACCTCTGTTAATCTGAACTGCTTTCTATATTTTGCAGTGCAGATTGTAGGGCTAGTTCTAGAATGAGAAAGAATTTTTGCTGTGAATTTTTTATTTCATGTAAAGGTTTGGGTTGAATGTGAYGTATGGTGAAGTGGCACAATGGAAGGGCCTGATCATTGATTTCTATTTTCTGTTCTGTGTTCTTTAAAAGGAAAGCCAGTGTGTCCCCACCCCATATTTTCTGGTTTTGAAGCCCCACAACCCAGCAGTCCTACCGTCCTACTGTCACTCTTCACCCATGATGTGTTTCTAACACAACAGGGAGGAACATGCTTACGTGGAGAAGTGCTGGAAGGACGTGCGAGTGGGGGACTTTGTGCAGCTGCAGTGTAACGAGATCATCCCAGCAGACATCCTGCTGCTCCACTCCTCCGACCAGAACGGGATCTGCCACCTGGAGACCGCCAACCTGGACGGGGAGACCAACCTCAAGCAGCGCCGGGTGGTGATGGGCTTCAGCAGCCAGGTGAGTTGGGCAAACACAGCCCGTGGACACTTTGTCTGCTGCTGTTGATGCCCAATGATTTTTGTCTTTCCTTTTTATGTTCCCTTTTGTATGTTTTACAAAACCCTTTTAGACATTTCTATACCCTATATGTATTCCCCTTAGCCCTGCATGATTGTGATTCATGTGGCTTGATATTCCAGCTTAGTTTAGGAGTTCTGCTGGGCAGAGAGACCAAACATCCTAGGAAGTGATCAGCATGCCCTGTGCTATCTTAAACCCGAGCTCCAGCCTTGGGTGAAGCCTTCTGTCCAGAACATCTTGTGTAAATTGGGCTCTAGCCTCATCTGGGGAGGATTCATTAGAATAGGGGGACATTACTGCATTTGTTAAGTTTCTTATTGGGGAATCCTAGATAGATATGCTAATTCTTGAAATCTATAAAACTTGTACCCGTGCTGTACACAGGAGTGCATTCTGCCATCAGGTTGTGCACCTGGGATCCCAAATACCAAGGTAAAACCCTTTTATCCCCTTAACCGTGTCTGTGGCATTATTAAAAACTGGCCATCAAGGCAGCACTGTGGCCACTGGGCCACAGCAAAGTCACTRCAGTGAGGGAATCATTTCTGCATGGGAATTGGAACAAAGCTCATGGTCCCCTGCCAGAGCATCCCTGGGTTTCCTTATAGATTCTGCCACAYCTCCTGGGCAGGTGGAGGTGTGGCAGCTCCACTGGGAGCTGCTCTAAGGCACACTGGAAGGAAAAATTTAAAGAATGCAATCCTGTGTAGGAATGCATTAAGCTCTTTAATAGGAACTCAAAGTAAATTAATYTTTTTAAAAGGTTGAATGCTTGACATCACTTTGAGATTCAGTTTGAATGCTTAAAATCATCTTTTTTTCATAGGCAATATCATTTTCCTTTTACAAACACTTTACTTTTATGTTCTCTTGGCTCATGTTGGATAAACCTGAAGTAAACAAGAAAATATAACTTAGAGAGAGTTGTTACATTTTCAARTATTTTTCAAACATAGCAGGTCAGTTTTTCAAAAAACTCAGAACAAGCTTAGGGAGTTGTAGTAATGAAGAGGAATATTTTGTTTCATTGGAATTACTCCAGCAGATATGAAATCCAAAAACCTCACAAGTAATCTGAGAATTACATTCATGTATTTAGCAGTTAGTACTAGTGCTGTTGGGAAGATATTTTGGGGTTACTGGTGTGTGGGACAGAGCTGCCAGGGAGAAACCAGATTTATTAACTAAAAGCACACCATTTCCATGGCCAGTTGTGATCAGCTGCTGCACTCCAGTGTTCCTGGCTCCGTGTTCAAATGGAAGTCACTTTACAAGGACAATTAAGGGCTGTCTCAGGTTGTGGATCCCATAGCATAGGGCACAGGCCTTTTCCAGTGCCTTCCAGTGATAGTTAGGGAGAGGTCTTGCTCCTGAAAAACACTGGAAATTTTTAATATGTAGAGATTTAGGAGAAAACAGTCGACTGAATGCTTAACAGTTTTTAAAATGCTGCATTTTGCCATGTAGTCCTAAATTTATATTTTTGCTTTTAGAGGAGAACAGGCTGCTCTACATCACACAAAAAATGTATACTTTTACCTCAATTGTTCATCATATGAGGAAGTTTTCCTTTTCATCAGAAAATGCCCATGTGCTAAATTATGCCCCAGACTGCCTAATCACAGTGAYTTTCCTTAGACTTTGAGTTGTTATTTAGATAAACCGTGTGCCTGGGAGTGTCTGTGCTCAAGAGCTGCTGTTCCATGCACAGAGTGGAATGCAGCTGTGGTGACAGCCCGTGCTGGAGAAGGTCAGAGCTGGCACAGCCACCTCTATCTCCCTGTTCTTGTGGTGTGTTTGTGTCAACAGTGGATAAAAACCCCCGTGTCCCCAGTGTCACACGTGCGGGTTTCAGYGCGCCGCCTTCTTCCTTGTCCTTTGAGCTTTGCTTAGCCCTGTGGTTTATGAGCTGCATAAAACCCCCTCAGATGTAATTCTGTCCATAAAGTGACTCTTTAAACAGGGAGGTGATACTAGGGTTAGATCATCAGTTTAGGTTATAAGAAATATGAGAAAAGACTCCACAAGGCCATGGAGAGGCAGGACAAGGGGGAATGGCTTTGCTCTGACAGAGAGCAGATTTACATGAAATATTAGGAAGWAATTATTCCCTCTGAGGGGATGAGGCCCTGGCACAGTTGCCCAGTTTTGGGTGCCCCATGCCTGGAATTGTCCAAAGTCAGGTTAAACAGGGCTTGGAGCAATCTGGGATAGTGGAAGGCGTCCCTGCCCATGGCAGGAGTGGTAACAAGATGAGCTTTAAGGTCCCTTCCAAACCAAACCACCCTGTGATTCCATGATATGCTTAGGAATATKGAATACAACTATCTCTAAAAGACCCTTTTATGGCATTTTCTACCTTGAAATTTCAAATGTAAAATTCTTGTCATCAAAAGAAAAAAATTGAGAGAAGAATCATTCTTCTGTACCCCTTTCTATCTAGAAGCCTATTAGTTTTCTTTGTTAGCAATGAACACTCCAGGTGATTTTTGTATCTTCCTGTTCTCCTGTTATACAAATACTTCTAGMAAAACCAAATATGAACTGGTTTTCCTGTTGAGTTCACTGAGTTGAACAAGATTCAGCAGAGGTGAAAAATCTCTCTTAAAAGAGATTCCAAAAATACTCAGCCACATGGGTCAGAAGGTATTCTAAATACCTTCTAAGGCCCTTATGTTCCTGAAGCTTTTATGTTTCCTCCAACATTTTTTTTATCGTATTCTCTACTTTTTTGTACTTATACATACACACATAGTATAAAAAAAAGAATACATGTATTGTTTATGAAAAAAAAGGACAGGAAAGAGAAAACAAAGTAAAMATTAAAGCACAGTGCTTGCTGTAGAAAAAGGTAGGGAGGCTCAGAAGCAGATTTGATTTCCAACTTTCCTAACAGAGGCTTTTGTGTTAAGTGAGCTTTAAATCTTTTCCAATTCTGTGGCACAGCAATAATTATTATCTTTCAYATTTTTCATATCCCTTTTTTATTACATTTTCTTAATCGAAAATCAAAGTTCTGTGTATGTTATCAGCTGAGAATAAATCACCACTTATGGCAGTCAAGTACGTCTCATTCTGTCTGTTTTCTGGGCTGCTTTGTACAGTCCAAACCCCAAGCCTGTTTCCCTGAACACTGGGGAAATCAAGGAAAATGGTGTGACTCAGTTCAACTCCAAGCTCTGTAGGAGTGAGCCTTTAGCCTGAAAAGCTTTGTCTCATTTTGTCTCTCCCAGCAGTTTGGGCTTATTCTGCTACCTTCCCTCTTCTGGATTGATTTTAATTTTGGGGTTGGGTAAAGGGGTTTTTTTGCTGTTAGTCTTGCTCTTGGTTTTATTTGAATATGATACAGTCATTAAAATGTGTGGCCTCTTTGTGATGATACCATCCTGGCCAGTAACATAAATCTTCTAGCATAATCAAGAATCCTGTTAAATCCCGAAATTGTTTTAATTTGAGCTTGCTCTTGGTTGACTACAGTTTTTATYTTATAAGCAATCCAAAATATTTCATAGAAGCACACAATCCCAGAATGGTTKGGGCTGAAAGGAACCTTAAAGTTCATCTTGCTCCAAACTCTGCCATGGGCAGGGACACCTTCCACTGTCCCAGGTTCCTCCAAGCCCCTCCAGCCTGGCCTTGACATTTCCAGGGATGGGATGGCACAGCTCAGACCAATTTGTGCCAGGGCCTCACCATCCTCACAGGGAAGAATTTCTTCCTAATAGTTCATGTAAATCTACTCTCTTTGCTAYATTCACTTTAAATGAAGACAGATGTTTGCACTAATTGGCATCTGTGATGGTGTGTCCAATACACAGCCTTTTCTTCATTTAATTTAACCAGTTGTGATTCCAAAATAGGGAAATACTCAGCCCTTCTGAAACTTTGCTTCAGGCTGAATGAGCTAAAATGACTTTGTCTCTCATTCTAGGGCAAGTGCTCCAGTCCTAGAGTCTAAATTAAGCTTCTCTCAGTGTTTAGCATTTCAAGTACTCATTGGATTTGACACTCATTCTCAGTGTGTTTTCTCTTGCAGAATACTTTGTTTGAACCCGAATTTTTCCAAAACACCATCATCTGTGAAATGCCAAACAATGATCTCAATAAATTCAAAGGTTACATGTAAGTACTTGTTATCCATAAATACATCTTGGATCTGAACTTGAATATTACTCTTGGAGGAGTTGGATGGAAGGGACACACATTTTGAGGAAATTGATGGTTGTCACTATTATCTATTCCTGGATTGAGAAGTCAATATAAAACATAGAATTGGACTCTGTTTTTTGGCAAGGCAAAACCAAGGCTTGGAACTGCATTTGCAGTTGTTTCATACRAATCATCCTCACAAAGCTTCTGTTGAAAACTTAGACATAAGCTCATTTACGTTTGACCTGATGGTTAGACTAAGCCAGATTTAAATCTAAATCCTTCCTAATATTCGAAGTATCCAGCAGCATGGCTCTAGTTTCTTCACATTTACAGCCACAGGGAAAAAGTGTCCAAGATCTAATAAACAATCGAGATTTTCTCCTTATTAGAAAGGTAGGAAAAGCAATCAATCATGCAAAATCCTATTGACCCAACRTGTTAGACTAGTATAAAAAAAGCAGGGTGGGTTTCTTGTTTTTCTTCATTAAATAATTCTGGCACAGGCCTAACAGCAAATTCAGCAGATTTAACCCCATTCAGGAATCATAAGGCTGATTTGTATGTCATAGCTCATGTCCTAAAATTCTCTCACCCTCCAAAACAGAGCAGCCTTTCTTAAGGCACTCTCCAGTGGTCAGCAGCCTGTGCTGATTCCCACTCCAGAGCAGAGAATTCTCCAAAAYACCTACTGCCCCAGCCCAAAGTCATGCCCTGTTATTATGAATAATTTAACTGCATGAATGTGCCAGCATCCTCATCCATGCCCCAGCTTTGCTAAGTTTGCCAGCAGCTRAACTCGGAGTTAATGGCTCTGCAAGGAGCAGTGAGTGTTGTACCTGGAGCAGCTGCAAATGGCCGGGTCTCTGGCAGAATAAACCAGAGGTTTCTCTCCCATTAGCACTGACCGTGTCTAATCTGCTTTTGAGGTTGTGCCCTGTWAGAATGGTGCCTCTAACAGCAATGCCATTTCTCCTCTGCTGCAATATCTTACAAGGGAAAAAGAGGTCAAGTTTGTATTGATTGCTGGCTGTGGTTGTTGGCTTCAGGGACCACTGGGTATAATCTAAATCAAAGCAATCCTTCCAATTAGCTCGCTGAAATGCAGCAACGAGCACTGAGATTAGAGAAATGGAGGAGATATGTCACCAGAAAACAYACACAAACACACACCCTCAGGACCCAGGGCTGGTTTCAAAATATTCACCGCTCAACTGAAAGTCTGTAACAGAAATCTCTTTGGTAAATGCCYATTATCTCACCTGCTTGGTGGAACATGGAATTAGCTGCCTTCCTCTCCCTGCTTCAGGGAAAGAAGAAAGAATTTGCTGGGGAAAATTACTTGCTAAGAGTTAGTGGAGTTTCTGTCTTTGGTCTGCTGAGATTTGAGCTATTTTGTAAACACAAATTACTTGGAGCAGGCTACCTTTTTCTTCAAGAACCCTTAATAAATTATTGAGGCTCTGTTGCCTTGCTAGAAAATAGCAGGAGCACTCTCTGCTAAAAACGATAAGAAATAACTTAGTGACATCCATCTGACATGCCTGATCACAGAAAATTCTGTTCAAGGGGATTCAAGAAGCCTTCTATTAAATGAGTTCCCCAAGGCTGAATTTAGATTCCAAGAAAAACAGATCTCTGGCATTATGTTTTTACAATTCTACCAGCTGTAGGTTGTTGGCACCTTTTCCCCTGTCTGGTTTAAGTTGTGTAATCATGTGCAGCTGCCCTTAGACACAGGACCATTCTTAGCCCACAGATAACTCCTGGCCTTGCTCTTCTTTTGAGAGATGCTGCTGTTTACTGGCAAATGAAACGCAAAATATCAAATAAAAAGTAGAGAAAGATGAGCATTCTAGGAAAAAAAAAAACCCGAATCTTTTCCCACCCTGGCATTTACACAACAAAACAAGACAAAGTTTCTGAAATAGAAGCTCTCAGTTTTGGTAAAGATCTCAAGAGGGGCCTTTTGAGACCCAGAAAACAAGAGCAGCTGTGGGCAGGGGTCGGTGTGTGCATTCATTTTCAGAGGAAAGTAACAAATTGCCTGCCTGATGGAGCACTGCCTTGTGGTTTTGATCAGGTTGTTGTGCAAGRATCTGGTGTGTGATGGGGCATCTTTAGCCAGGATGAACAGTCTTCTGTCCAGGCTGAGAATGAGGAAGAGCTCCTGAGCTGAGACTGCTCCAGTGAGCTGAGGCTCACAAAGAAGTGAAGCCCTTTGGTGGCTGACAGAGCAACCAAGGCTCTTGCAGGGTGCAAATATATTTTGTCTGAGCTTCTGTTCATCAATCTGAAAAAGTTTTCCCTCTAAGAAGTAGCAAAATGACTCCTGGTTTCTTTCTTGAGATACTGAATCTGGCAGATAAGGTACTTAGGGAGAGCCAAATTTTGTACTGATATCATGACACACACACTGCCCAAGTGGCCTTTGAAAGACTTGGACTTCTCAGGAATTTTTGCTGGAGTCTTCACGAAGCTGAGTGAAATAAAAGCAAAATAGGGCCTTCAAAGTTACTTTATTTCAACTTGAAACAGGCACACAAAAATTTTGTTTAACACTCTGTTAGAGCAGAAAAATTAATTGCTCTATTTGATTTTATCTCTTCTAGGGAGCAGCCAAACAATGAACGAGTTGGGTTTAACATTGAAAGCCTCTTGCTTCGTGGATGYACAATCAGAAATACTGAGGCTGCAGCAGGAATTGTTATATATGCAGGTAAGATGTGCTTTCTATTTAGGTTAACCAAGATCCTTAAAATATAGTGTATTATTGTAACATAATTTGACACTTCGTTTTAAAAACTAGTAGTGGACAGAAAAATTGTATAACCTTTTTTTAAGTGAAAGTATTACTCATCCATCTCCAAAGGCAGCAAGTCTTGCACTGGGTCTTTGGCAAGTGACAGTAACCTTGTGCATGTCAAATATCTGTAAAAATATCCAGACAAGTAAAAAATTGCTAAGGTGAGTTTAACCCTCAGCTCTGGCTATAATACTAATTCCATCTGTCAGAAAATCTACACAGCTGCCCTAAGGGAGGTCTCACTGGCTCCTCAGGGTAGAGACTGGCACAGCTGAAGATCTACCCAGAAAAAAAAAAAAACCATCATCTGTGCATTTAATTCATCCATTCAGTCTGTGCCAGTGCCAGCACGCAGGAGGCAGCGAGGCAGCAGCTGGAGGTGACAGAAAGGCAGCAGCAGCACAGGTTTGTGCTGACACAGACACAGTGTGTCCATGCAACCATGAATTTTGTGCAGGAGACACATGGACCAAGAAACACGGAGTAGGTGCCCGGATAAATGCAGCAGTGCCAGTTCAGCAGTGGGTCAGTTCATCTGTTTCCCAGCATCTTTCACCTTTGCAGTGCTACCACTGCTTTTACTCAGTGAGCATGATTTATCATCGGCTTTCCCAGCTGTGCCCTCCTCTGCTTCAGAGTGTATCAGCTGCCCTTTTATTTGTAGATTAAATAAAAGTTAATTCAGACATAACAATTAATCCCATTAGCTGTTATTATCTTTCCAGTGAAGTTATATCAACTGTTTTACRTCTAATCAGCAGCGAGGAGTTCAAGGTTGAGCCACCTAAGAGAAAAGAGAAGTCATATCTTTGCAAGAGTCATTTAGCTCAGATTAATCTCCACAGCCCGGAACAATTTACCTGACAACAGACTGTTTATTTCACCACCACACCACTGGACTCTAAATGACTGCAGCTCCCATATGTTTCCAAGGTAGCTTTGCCTTTGTAGGTTTTTCATTGCCTGAACACCACATCAGAGGGTGGTGCCCACCAGGCAGAGGAGGAGAGCCAGAGCCAAAGTGAGCACTCCTTTTTGGAAGTAGCTTCTGTGTGAAAATCTCAGTAGGGGTCATTCCCTATATAATTGGAGTAATTTATCTTCCTTTCTCCTGTTTCAGTTCCTAATTTTCTTATGTGTAGCTCAGTTTTCCAGTATGTTCCCTTGACCACCAGCACAGATCATAACGTGGATTTCCATTTATGTTGCTTAAGCTGCCAATAGCAAAGTTTGGAGTTTTAAAGTTATTCCCAAGACATAGCGGTTTTCAGCCGAGTAAGTCTTCAGATCGTTTTCCAAGTCTTAGAGTTAATATCAGCATAAAAGTTTATGCATTTTTTTCCCTGAAATTAGACTGGCTTCAGTCAGTACCAGCTTCATTTCTAGGGTTCTTTGACATTGATTATACTCTGGCTTTTAATCATGGTCTGTGACCTTTTCTGAGCAGTCGAGATCAGTCACATAATGAGATGGCACACTTTCCATTTTTATAACTCCATTACTCCTCAAACTTTCTTTCTAATGGGAGCCTTTGTGAGGAGTGCAGCCGTCACTTTGTGTGATTGCTTGRCCTGTGCTGTTCTCATCTGACCCAGGACAGTTACACTTTTCATGGCTCCCCAAATTGTTCTACACAAAGCTGTGGCACTCAAGCACAAAAACCTCATTACAGAGTGGCACCCAATGTAGTTTACTCATTGTGATTGGAACAGCAGTAAGAATTATATGTACTAAAGTAGCAGAAAGAAGTTTTAGATGAGCCCATCAAGATCTAGAAATAGAGAGATAAGGTACCATTGGGGTGGCAGGTGAGGTGCTGCATTGCACAGCATAGAAAACTGTGAGGATTAGAGGTGAGCAAAGTAGTTTATTACCCATATTTCTGATTTTCTATTCCTTGCAAGGTGATACCTGTGTTACAGAAGCACCCTTTCCCTGACAGTCACCTGAAGTGGAAAGGAATGGAAAGAACTGATATTTGGAATGAAGCTCTTCATATTTTCTTCCTGAAATAAATTCATCAGTGTTACCTTGTTTTCTGGGAGGGATTAGAGGGCTTTGGRTTGTTTTATTTTCAACACAAAACATTCCACTAAAGGAAAGTGAGGAACAAGATTCACACATCTGCTGGAGGAACAGAARCACAAGCAGCAGTKCCCTCCCCTTCGSTGTAGCTCGATGTTTGGAGAATTTRTTCTGCAAAGGGAAGGCTGGGGGTTTGTTCTCAGTTCTGCCTGTCTGGGAGTGAGCAAACATCTCCTGCTGCACAGGCTGAGCACTGAATATCTGCCTGAGCARAACGAGTGGGTTTGGACTGACTGTGAGCTGGAAAGGAAGGARCACTGCTGGTATAAACTGGTCCCAATGACACTGCTCCAGCTTGTGTAAATAATTACATATTCTTTGGAACAGGAAGCCAGCAGTCCCAGCTCTTGGGTGAATGTCCTGAACATAAGGCTGGAGAGTAATTTTCTCTCTTGCTCTCTTCCTTAATTAATAACCCTTGATGTAAACCTGGAACAAATCCTGCAGGTGTGATTGAACTGCACCTAACTTCCAGCTTTTGGGCTAAATCACTTCCCTAGAGAAAGCTAAAAGGCAGCTTGGAAAACAGCCCTTATCACACACATCATGCCCATACAAATGAAAACTAAATACAAGTCTGCAGGGTCTGTAATTCAGGAAAAAAGRCTGTAGAAATAAACATAAAAGATACCATCTAATATAGCAACAGATGGTGTCCTGATATACCAATTGTGGATCCACAGTTTAGATAATATTAACAGAATTGAAAAAGCAATTTCTGCTTCTTGACTTCTTACAGCGCTCCCCTTTTTACATTACAGGCACAGCACCTCAATTCTAATTCACAAAGTTTAAGGATTGGGGTTTCTTTTMTTTCTCATCCTACTGTTTTGTCAGCACTTTACAACCAAATGGTGAAAAGCCAAATATTAGTGGTTTTCATTGCTGGATTTAACATGTTGAATTTTATTTAAGTTAATATACAAAATGCATCTAATGGCATTTAAATAGCTGGTGAAAAATATTCAAATGCAGGTTTCAGGAATCTGTATAGCACCTAAACAATCTGTTTGTAAAATATAAAAATATAATACTAATGTTCATATTCCTTTTCTTCTCATGGAGATTTGACTTTTGAATATTTATATGAACYTTATGATCCTACTAAATCTGCTGTCATTGGGACAGAACAATGTATGACAGCTGTAACTTGTGAGGTCCTTGATAAACCTCAAGATTTAGACTCTGATRCATTCAGTCAAACGGGAAGAGGTGCAAGAAAAATTCTGAATAYCAGCATTAGTCATCGTGCTCTCATACTGGGAGGGAAATACTTTTTAAAATACCAAACCAAAATACAAAATATTACGTAAAGACCTGATTATTTTMATTTGTGTTTTGAAGGTCACGAGACGAAGGCCATGCTGAATAACAGCGGTCCTCGTTACAAGCGCAGCAGGATAGAGCGGCGGATGAACAGRGACCTTTTCTTATGTGTGGGACTCCTGCTTGTGATGTGCCTCGTTGGAGCTGTAGGTATGAAGCACTGACAAACCTCTTTTTCCTAAATGGTCATTAAAATTGATCTTATGGACATGAGTGAGATCTAGAGCTGAATGCTTTCRGGGTCTTTAGGCTCCTTGTTCTTTCCAAGAGAGGGGTTAAAATGGCAGACCTGAGCAATTCAGGTGAAAAAAACTCATCCATGACTACAAATTTTTCAGATAAGGCTCATCTCTGCTGTGGTAAAATATGTGTAAAGCAAGTGAAAGCCATTCTGTGATTGCATTGTAGGAATCCATATTTGCCAGCTGAGATCTTCCTTCCTTCCTGAGTGCTTCCTGAGGGGGTGTTTGTTCCCTGTGCATGAGAGCAAAAGTAAAATGATGTTGTTTTACTTYCATTTCAGTAGCGCCTTCCTCTAATATGTTTGGGAGTGATATTAGACAGACACACAATTCAGAAGCCATGAGCTGCTCATAATTAATTCATTCAGTTTACAGCCTCCACAGCTTCCTTCCTTCTCAAAAGCCCCTTTACATTAGGCTGAGAGATGGAGTTATTGTCTAGGTTGGAATAGCCTGCATTTTTGTGGGGTCCTGGCAGGTGAGCATGTGTGAATTTAGTAACTGCTCTTAACTGACCAGAGTTTACTGGCTGGCTAATCTCAAAAAGATCATCTTCTCTGTGTGTGAGCACCTGCTTGCTTTCCAGCTCTGATTGCAATCTGGCCCAGGAAGGCCAGAATTAATAGGATCTCATAAATCTCAGGAAAGGTCCAAATTTTAAGTCTGSTGACTTTTGATTGGGGCAATGCTTTAAAGAGATAACAGGGGTTCCCATGAGCCCCTTTTCTTTCCRATTGATTTTGTTTCAGTGATAACTTGCTTAGTGCTACTGCTCTGATTTAGCGACAGTCAAATCAAATTTTCCTGCACCTGCCCTGGAGGGATGTGATGTGACACACCAGCCAGTCATCACTGCAGTACCATGGGAAGTAAGGGCCATCCAAAACAGATGAACAATTGAACTGACTTAATCGCTTCTTTAATTTTACTGCTTCATGTTGCAGTGGGCCTTTTTGGCACCAAAATGGGATTTGGGTTTGACAACTGAGCTCTGTATGAGGGAGAGAGAGACTTTATTTTCCTTGTTCCCTGGCTGCTGTCATGTAGATTTAGAGACTTGACTTTGTGTGGTGCGTAGGGGCCCTTGAGTAATAAAGTSCTTCCATTTAAGGTTTAAAGTAGTCTCAGATGAAAAAATCAGCATTTAAAAAAGCAATTTATCTCTTCAGGTTAAAAAAAAATATTCATAGTCCGAGTGAAACATGTCAAACAGTAACAAGKCTATTAGCTTTCATCCATCCAAAATGTCCAGAGGCTCTACCATGAGTTCTTGCTTTGCAGCCTCATCTGAATGTAGGGTTCTAGGAAGAAATGTCCCTGGTGGATCACTTATTGGATTGTTCTTCCACACAGTGGTAAATTGGGGTAAGAAGTGGCCTGCAGGGCAAAATTGTCCTTGTTCAGATATGACTGTGGTCTGAAGCAGCCAGAGAACATTGCTGAAATAATTGGAATATCCTTGGCAGCATTTTAGCAGGCAGATGCTGCAAAACAACTGCTTGGTTAACCAGTGCTAAGGGAAGTTTTATTGGAGCTGGATATGCAAAATGGACTAATAGAGGGGTTTTGGCATCAGGACAAATTGGCATCATGATGCAATGAGGGAAACCAAGTTGTTTGCCTTAGCTCTGTGGGAAGTTTCTGGTGCTGTAAATTTAGTAACCTCCTTGGCAAGAGTTTATTTCAATAAGGACAAAGTGGTAAAACCATTGTGATGGGATGTTGTTGTCCTGGAACAGAGGCTTTGTTGTAGCAGTGCAATGGTATTTACTGGCATTTAAAACACAGAGGAAGAAGCAGTTTGGGATATGGTTTGATTGAAGGAATGTAAAGATGAGTTGCCCAGACTGAATTTAGGGGGTTTGTCAACTCTAACAAAGACAGACTGAAATAAAGAATGGTCAGGGAGAATAAAATATTTCAGTTTGTCTGTATAGAAAGGTTCTAAGATTTATTTCTGTGACAGGAAGCTTCAGCACTGAGAATTTTTATGAGTAGGTGATAGAGATGGATTCTTCCAGCAGGAAGATGTAGGATGAGGACAGATCTGTGCAGAGCTAAGAGCCGCGGGGAGCACCTGCTGAAGGAGAGGTGAATGAAAATATCCCTGAATATTTATTTCTCACCATCATATCAACTGTGTGCATGTGCTACAGAGCTCTGCAGGTGCTTTGCACTCTCCCAAAGATGTGCAGTATTGCTCAGGGAGTGTTGCTTTGGAAATGCTTCTCTGTTCAGTTACCAGAGCAGTCCATATCTGCACATTCCAGGAGCTTTGTCTCTCACCTCACTGCTCAGCTGATTTCAATCTCGTATCTCATTCCGACAGGGCATGGCATTTGGACTGGAAAATTTTGGGAGCACCCACCTTATGATGTCCCAGATGGGAATGGGAATTTTGCATCTCCAGTTCTTGCCGGTTTCTACATGTTCCTGGCAATGATWATCCTGCTGCAGGTAAAAGACAAAAACCTCTCTGTTACCTCCCAGAAAGAAATTGCTCAAAACTGAGCATGATCACTAATGAACAATTATTATCAACTAATAGCTGTGCATTACCTTCTTAATCCTATTTAAAAATATTTCTAGAAGTGTTTCAAATCATCCAAATGTGAAATAATTTTTTTCTTTGTTTTTTCTTTCTAACTGTAGACTTTTTTCTTGCTATTGAAACCCCACAAGCGTATAGATAGGAAACTGCATGTATTATATCTTTAACTCAGAATATCTTCCAGATGCAATAAAGAGGATGTTTGCATCCAAATTTCAGCTTTTTCTTTTCTGCMTATATCCAGAATTCCAAAATAAGAATGCCACTTAACATCTCAGAAAAACAGCAAAACAAAAATTGCCAATTTGCCAGTGGGGAATAATAACTAGGTATGGTTCAGCTGGTCTGGGAACAAAACTAAATTAGAAGTAGGATACTTRTATATCTGAGTGTGATTAAGCCTAATTGGGAGAGAACATTTTATTGGGTGAGGAAAAAAATTACATTTACTCTTCAGATTTCTTGATGTCACTGCTGAGATTTAAGTGGACAGAATTTCTTTAATAAGAGCAAAATTTGAATATAACTTTCAGAGCTGCTCAGAGATTCCTTGGGGGATTACTCTTCATTACTGAAACAGAATACTTGTGCGTATTATGAATTCATTATTATTTCAGGGCAAGGAAGCTCGTGGGTGGGAAGTGCTGTGTGCAAGGTAATTGTTTGTGAAAGTTTTCTACACTTAGAGTTAGTTTGTGCTACTCCGTCCTTTCAGAGTTTCAGAAGGGTAAGGGTGAGCATGACCCTATGTGCAGAAAATGTGCTTTGTAAGGGCATCCTCTGAAAGACCCACCTTTGAATTTGGTACTCTAGGAATTTTGTCTTATGTTTGCTGCTTATTATCCCTGTTTCTCCATTGTTATTGTGTGCTGGATTTTTTTTCTCCCCTGAACTATTATTCATCAGTCCTACAATATGTCTCTAGGAAGAACTGTTTCTCTGGAAATCATTAGTGTACCTGTGCCAGGACATTGCTGACAGAAAGCAGCAAAATTTATCTTACCCCTCACTGAAAATTTAAACTCTCTTTCAGATTTTAATCCCCATTTCTCTTTACGTGTCAATTGAGTTGGTCAAATTGGGCCAAGTCTTCTTAATTCACAATGACATTGACCTGTATGATGAAGAAGCAGATTTGCCCATCCAGTGCCGTGCCCTCAATATTACTGAAGACCTTGGACAAATCCAGTATATCTTCTCAGACAAAACTGGGACACTAACAGAAAACAAAATGGTATTCCGACGCTGTACTATCGATGGAATTGAGTTTTCCCATCAGGAAAATGGTGAGAGACTCTTTTTTATTCTTGTTTTTTATCTCTGAGCAATTAAATGTTATTAATTTAAATATTAATATTTAAACCTACTGAGGCCTCTGGTTGAATGTAGAGCTTTGTGGGTTGCTCTCTATTTTGTGAGGGATTCCTGTTATAGAGGTTCACAAAAGTGAAAGCATTTTAAATTATTCAGAAATCAGATGGGAAATGTTTTCCAGATCCCTCTGCAGGCACCTCCAGGATTTGCCCTGCATTCAATACCCGCTTGTGCACGCAAAGAGAACATTTTCATTTCTAAATGAACGCCAGCCAACCTTTTATAAGTTCACAAACTGAAATTAGTTAGCATTTAAACTCRGTGGGTCCAAAAGTAATTACCATAGACTTCTGTATGATATGAAAAGTACAGATACCCTTTTCCTGGAGTGAATCCTGGCTGAAGCCTGGATCTGGAGGATCTTGGCACTCAGTTCTCTGAATTCAGGGGTTGACTCAGGGCCCTTCTTCGCCTCTACTTTCTTTCTCTGTGTAGTGGAAAGGATCTTATTAAGCCAGCAAGCAGCTGCCAAAAAGATGTTTGTGTTCTGTGAYTGAAAACATTAGCAAATCTGTGAATTACCATATTTCACTCTCCTGTTCCAACTGCAAAAAGCAGCTGTAGAGACAAAGCATTAGCAGAAGCCCATAAAAGTGACTGATCACTTCAAAAACACATTTTTATTTTCTTGCAATAATAACAGTGGCCATTGCCAGAAACTGTGGTGGACAGTGAAATATTTCTGGTGCTGGCTTTTGAAACATTTTGGATTTGGTTTGGATATAGTTTGYCGCAGGTTTTTCAATTCCTGATTGAGGAATTCCTCCCAAAAAAAAAAAAAAAAAAACCCAAAAAAAAAAAAAAAAAAAAAAAAAAAAAAAAAAAAAAAAAAAAAAAAAAAAAAAAAAAAAAAAAAAAAAAACCCAAAGAAAAAAACCATAGCATCAGGGGCAAGGTTTATTTTTTCTCTTTTCTAGCCAAGCGCCTGGAAACACACAAAGAGCTGGATTTAGACGATGAGGACTTTGCAAAACTTCARCTCTTGACTCTTCCTCCCATGACCCTTGAGAGAGCAGCCCCGTACGGACACAGCACTGTGAGACCTCTGAGGCGGTGCCAGAGCGCCCGGGCGCGTTTCCAGGGCCACACCAGGAGCAGGTCGGTCGGGCGCCGTGACAGCAGCCAGTCCCAGGTGGCCTTCAGCAGCASCATCGTGAGTACCATGATGTGATGRGATAACACCTCCTGAGCCATCCCTTCTGCTGCAGTGTCGGAGAGATGGGAGAGACACAGAAACGACCTCRTAGACGTGGTTGAAYGWGCAATCTCTTCAACTTTATYGTGYRGTCCKGGGGTTTTTATACCCCTGGTTCCTAACGGTGACGGCGGTAACGCTTTTTGTAACAGGGATAAYGGTAACTTAACGTTCACAAACCCCTACTAACGACATATAATCCCTTATATGGCAGTTGTGCCGTTGCAGGAGGCRYGTGCTGACTCTCCTTGCGGAGTTACATTGGTGTTTCTCACGGCCAYGAGGGWACTCGAGACAGACCCAACTGGAACAGTTACAGCACCTGCCAGCTGCTGGCCAACAGTGGCCAACAGTGCAGATTGTTCCAGAACCTTCACAGCTCTTCTCTGCCCCTACCAGGCCTAGGCCTCATAGTGGCTTACCACACTGCAGCTGCCATGGGAGGCCAGCAGGGAGAGGGGAAATCCAAGCCTTGCTTGGAGCGACAAAGCTTTGGGGCTTTGGGGAGTGCAGGCTGCAGTCAGCAGGGAGCAGAATCTGCTGGATTTTAGATCTGAAGCATCTCAAATTCTCATGCAGTCTAATTAAAGTCAGGCTGTTCTGTTCKGCTTGAAATTTTTTTAGCAGACATTTCAGACAAGGCTTTTGTGAACACTAAGGGAAGGTCATACACTTTCAAAATTAAAATAATTAAAGGTCTGAAAAATCCTTCCAAATCTTGATAAAAGGAAAAAAAAAAAAAGGAAAAGGTCTAATAAATGCAGTATTCTCTAAACTTAATTTGCTGYAGTTGTTATAAGATCCCACTTACCTCACTCAATCCACTGTCATGCAGTAGATACCAATCAGAACTCCTACTGTTTTCTTGCAATATGGGAGTTCTGTCAGTTGTTATCCTAGCATTTTCCAGCCCAATCCTTATGAAGTGCTGAGAACATCTCCATGGATTTTTGTGAACCCATGAGTCATGGCTTCTGAGAACTTTCTAGAGGTCATGACTGTTGAAGGGTGATAAAGAAATTTCTTGCCAGTTTGTTTCCCAATTACATTTTTTACTGCCAGGCCTCATCTTTTTTTTCTATAAATAAACATTTTTTCAATTCACTGGAAAAGCAATATCTGAGAACTAGTATCAAATATCTCTTTTGTAAAAGAAGATTAAGCTGCGGTAATGGAAATAAACAGCCTTAGCTGCTCATAGGTGTCATTCTATCTGGATAAATTGTTTAACCCCCTATGACAATTGTGGAGATGTAGAAAAAATGGAGACACTAAGGTATTGTCCAAAGCCTGCCCTGTACAATGTCCTTGAAATGACACARAGTAGTATCTTTCTTTGCCAGCTGAGCCAATTTCCTATTAATAAAATGGGGACAATACATTTTTTCAGTGTCTCTATGGTTCCTGCCCTTTGGAACTTAGATCACCTTRTCTGATGCATTTTTACTCTGCTACAAATCTGAAGCATCCTGGATACTCCTGGTGTACAGTGTTTGTGGGTCTGTGCGTATGTCAGCACTCAAAGCTTCTTATGAAAAATCCATCTTTCAACAATAAAACATGATAGAGAATTAACATTTACTGTCTCTGCCTTAAGGGCCTCTGATGAATTAAGAGAGTGACAGTAYTTTTCCTTCTAGATTTAAAAGCTCCAATCAGTATTGCCTTGCTATTGGAAGCATTTCATGGAGATTTCCATTGTCCTGTGGTCATCAGGTTTTCATACCATCAAGTAGAAGAAATGCTATCAAGTTAATGAGGAAAACTTAAAACTGAACAACACTAGCCATTTTATATCATCAACATTTTCACTAATGAAATTGCTAGCATTGAAAAGGTGGCAAATTTAACTGATCATCATCATTAGTGCTGGTTTAGCTTGTTTTCTCTTTTGCCTGGTTAGGGTTTTTAATATATGTTCAGGYTGAAAATTCCAGTCAGCACTACTTTCACTTAATGTGAAAAGGAAGATGATAAAAACTTTTCTGATAAATATTGATTTCTTTTATTGTTTTGTTTTTAAAACCTGTCTCTGAGGCCACAAATGTCCTGACAATTTTTGATTTTTCCAGGGGGAGCTTTTGATTTCAGAAAGTTGCTGCGGGAGTGAAATGCCCATTAGTGCATCTGATCTTTTTGACAAGAACTTGCAGCACACATTGAGGATATAGGCTAAAAAGAAATTGAGTGGGATGATGACAGATAGGAGAGGCTAAGATCCACATTTAATAATTTGGTGTTTGTGATGTTCATTCTAATTGTGGCAATGCATGAATAAATTGGATGAGTAATTGTGCAAAGTGCTGGTGAGATTCTAATCTTTCATGTTTCAAATTTAACAGAATTCCCAACATAACAGTTTGGACAGTTTTGTCTGCACATATGTGTTCCTTRTGGGAATAGTCCAGATGATCTTTTTGGGGTTGTTCTATGTACAAAGCACAATAATATTTGCACAATCTCATTACCCTCAGAAACTCCTGCATTGCAATATTGTGAGAGGGTTTCTTAAAATCAGCAGCWTTAACTTTTCAGCCTCTGATTCTTTGTAGGAGACTTGAGAAGATAACTAAAAAATCAGGCTTATCCTCAGCATGTATTATTTGCTACAGAAAGGACTGCATCAGTACTGCAAACATGTCCCTGTATGTGAAATAAAAAAGCATTAAAACACTGAGCCAGAAGAACCAGAGCTTTCCACAGCAGGGAAAGTGCAAAGCCTTCTTCCAGCTTGAGATTTCATTTGAGCAGCAAAATGAGCAGTAGATTTATTTGCAATTATCAGGATTATTAAAGAACCCCTGTCACTTTAGCAAGCAGGAGATGCAATGTAACATATTCAGCTCAACATGGCACAGCCGAAAAGGTGCTTGGGTGACTTCTGTTGCATATTTGCAGAACTTGGGAAAACTGTGCCAGATTGAATGAGGTGAGGGTAATAGCTGACATGAACTAGAAAGCAGCTAAATAACTTTGGCAGTTCCTTAAACAAGGCATCCAAAGCTGTTGGCTCACGGGAAGTTGTCTTTTAAATTTGGAAATCCTTGTTAAATATGGCCCTGAATTAAATCCAAACCAGATCCCGCTAACATGAAATTTCCATTAAAAGTAATGCTCCCATAGCCCTACATCGAATTAAATTGTAGGTAAGTGACATTGTTATGTAGTTTGGCTTGAAAATTTAGGTTTGATTAGAAAGAGCATGATAGTAAAATTACAGAAACATCTCAGGAACAAGTGTGCATGTATTTATTTATTTATTGCAAGGACTGAAGAAGGAAAGTTTGAGAGCACTTCTCTTTCTGGGTGCAAAATGAAATTACTCTGGAAATAAAAAGTGATACTGCTGTAACTAAGCTATTAGCACAAAATGTTTTCTGTTGAAATAACTTTCAACTTCCCCACTGGACTGGGAGATTTCAAGTATAMATTCATCTGGAATGCCCTTTAATTCAGGAGTCAGTAGTTTCAAAGTTAGGGAATACAGTACAAATTATTCTTGATTTTCAGTAGATCTCGAAATAAAATTCTGAAATTTTAATAAAATTCTCGAAATAAAATTCTCGAAATCATTTTCCTTTTGAAGACACATTTCCTTCTAATTATCTAGTTATGCAGCTTTTGGAAATACATTCTTTTCTCCCTAGATGTTAAGTACAAAGGGCATTTACCTAATTCAAGGAAATTCGAGAGGTCTATCACGTTGCCAGCTGGTCCTTGAGGACAAGGGTAAAGGGGAATAATCCTCACTAATTTCTCTTCCAGGAAAAGGATGTGGCTCCCGATAGCAGGCTGCTGAGGCGAGTGAGAGAAGCTGCCCTCCAGACTGAAAGTCTTTCTCCTACACATACAAAGACTTCCACATCCCTTACTGACTTTTTTCTTGCCCTTGCYATCTGCAATACAGTCCTGGTCTCCACAGCTACTGAGCCAAGACAAAGGGTAATCTAACTTTAAATGCATGAGGAAAATGGATTAYGCTTCCATTTAACAACATAGAGCAGTGTTCAGTGAGACCTGAAATGGTGAAAAATGGTTTTTTGGGAGTTTTCCTGTAGTTCCTTTACCTTTTCTGTAATATCTTCCGCTTCCCTGCCTGTGTATCCTTTCCTAGCGTGTCTTTTTATGTTTGATAAATAGCTATGGCTACCACAGGATCTGCACATTTTCTTTTGGATTTATATTATATATGCTGTAAGAAGTTTGTTGAACACACTGGGTTTTCTCTGATCTGCCAGGCAACTGACAGAACTGCAAGGGCTTGATTACAACTCTACTTCAGAGGTAGAGATAAAAATCACCATCAAATTTGGATGTTAACTCACTTATGACTCCTCTGTTGAATTCTCCCACCACAGTTAAATGGCAGGAGAGGGGAAAGGAGGAATTTGCCTTTGTTATTATTGTTATTTAGATGCAGAAAAATAGAGAGAGGTTTTGAGAAGTATCTTGTAGTTCACATTTATTTATTTTTAACCTTAGTTTTTATCATATTCCTAGGTCACAATCCCACCACCAATAAAACCATCAGGAATCACCCTGGAGAAGATTCATCAGATATTCCAAAGGCTAAAATTAGCAAGCCTCAGCCAATCTTTTTCATCATCTCAGTCCAGCTCAGACCTSGGCGCCAGCTTCAGCGCAAAGAACACGGAGGAGCCCCTTGCTGGGCTGGAGAGCTGTGACAATGACAAYGACAATGACAGCGGCRSTAGAGGCCAGGAGCTCCAGGACAAGGGCAGCACAGATMTCGGTAGCACCTCCTTGGATGAGGTTTTTAAGTCTGTGACCAACAGTTCTCTGCCAGCAGCGTTTTGCTACGAGGCCGAGAGCCCGGACGARGCGGCGCTGGTGTACGCTGCCCAGGCTTACAGCTTCACGCTGGTGTCCCGCACGCCCGAGCAGGTGACAGTGCAGCTGCCCCAGGGCACCCTGCTCACCTTCGACATCCTCTACWCCCTGGGCTTTGACTCGGTCAGGAAAAGGATGTCTGTGGTGGTCAGACACCCTYTAACCAAGGAGATTGTTGTCTACACTAAAGGCGCTGACTCTGTTATAATGGACCTGCTGGACGACTCTGTCAAAGGTAATCAGCCACCATTTCTGTRSTSTCTCCTGCAAAGATGTTTGCWGTAGTCATTTCTGCATGAAATACAWTATCTAGGCAYTAGAAATACATTTTTTWAAAAAGCTRTCTYTAGAGTTATCCTATCAKAACTGAGGTATTTATTTAACCTCAGTAGTGCTTAGAATATGGAATGGGCTAATTAAAATTCACTGACAGCACTAACCCATGTGGATTGTGAACTCTGCAATAATAATGTCATAAGGGCCTGACCATTGTTTTTCAGGCTGTCAGCAAGAGTGCTATAATATTAACAAACAAACGAAAAAACCACCAGTAATGTTATCTTAAAGGAAACAAGGATCATTAGCAAGATTTCAGCTTCTGCACAGCCAACAATTTTTAGCTTTCAAAGAACTTGCTATTATAGTGGCATCCACTTTTCCCTGATGCCTACCCTTTTTTAATCTTAAGCCATTAAATTTTAAATTATCTGTGCTTAAAATATGGAGTCTTTTCCTTGTGTTTCACAGGTGACATTAGTGCAGAGAAGAGACTGAAAAGAATAAAAGAAAAAACACAGAAGCATCTGGACTACTACGCCCGTGACGGACTGCGCACTCTGTGCATAGCTAAGAAGGTGGGAGAGCACCAGCCTAATATTATTTAAAGCTTTACTCCGTACCTGTCAATAGAATTACGAAAAAAATTTAATGCTTATAATTCTAAGAGAACTAGCCAGATATAGCCCATCTTTTTGTCCCTCTATTTGCTGTGTCTGAAATCTCTTTTTTCCTCTTTTTCCTCAATGTGACCAGATGATGGATCTTTAGTCAGTCTCAAAACATTTATTTCTGTTTCTCTTATGGTAGCTCTAGCTGACCTTCTCTACACTGCTTCCAAGCAAGAAACAAAGAGTCTGCAGAGCAGCCAACCTTTTTCTGTTTTCTTGGCATTCAGCTTTCAGAAACCTTGCTCTCAGCCTGAGTCACTATATCTTAGTGTCATACTTACACACAGGACTTGTCTGTGTGCAGCAAATAGGTCATAWTCAAGCTCTGGAGAAATGTGGATCAACCCTCAGAAACTGTGTGCTCCCAGCAAAGCAAGRATTGTGTGAGCAAGAGTTTCTCTAGGTCATATTTTTGACTCTCAGCTGTAGGCCATTTGTACAAACTTCTTGTTTTTTCAGTTTTCTCTCGGAAAAGTTTGTGTTATTTTGAAGATAACACCATACTTTACCAGCTTGGATAGGAGTTRAGTCTCTGTGATCCAGAATGCTGGCATTCCTCTCTTATTTAAATTTAAAATMAGCTCTGTTTAAATTGTGTTACGCAGGTCTTGAGTGAAGATGACTTTCAGAAGTGGGCCAATTTTCGTCGGGAGGCAGAAGCTGCAATTGACAACAGAGAGGAGCTGTTAATGGAGACAGCACAGCATCTGGAGACCAAACTCACCTTGCTGGGTAGCTAAAAATAAGAATTGTCATTGYGTGAAGTATCACTTGCTCTCCTGTGATATTCTTGGCAATAGGAGAGACAACAGCTTATACTAATTTATATCCAAAAGTCTTCCTCTGGGGATTGGAGATCTCCAGGCTAGGGAGATACAATCCAATGACAGTGTCTACACAAGTTCTTATGCATTTTGGGCAGCAAAAACTTTGAGAAAGTGTACTGGAGCTGTTGTGTGCCAGGAGCAAAGAACATGCACATCAGCTGTGACTGTGGCTCAGCTGACACCGTGSATAATGAAGTTCCCACAATTCAATCCTGTGTCCATGTCCTTAGATAAACCTATAAAACACTAAAAATTAACTTCAGGTTTGAGCACAAATTTCAAGGGGATTTTGGTTATTGAACTTTATTATAAAACCCAGTAACCTAAACATGTAGGTGTTTTCCTGCTGAGTTCCTGCTGTTATGGCATTGTTACGTTTGCTTTGTGAACTTTGCAAMGAGATGTTTAATGTTAAAACTTACATTGATTGAYATTTSTGCATCATTCATCACYGTCACATCTAACAACATAATTCTGTTAAATTATGGAGCTCTTCAGTGCTTTCTGTTCTACTTTGTTTCCAAACATTTTGTTCTTAGCCCTTTGATTTTTGGAGTTGTCTCTATCTCATTTTCCCTGAACACAATTTGTGCCTATACTTTGTTATCCTGAATTTGTGTGATTGCAAGCTATTAGCATTATGGCTTCTCATAATCTCTGCAGTGATTAAAAAAATTAGAGTAATAAYGGTAAATGCCATAAGCAGAACACATAAGGGGTAATGTAGATCTTGTCAGTCTTTTACCTTTTCCAATTACTAAGGCTCTGTGCGCTTTCATAGTTTAATTTTCAAAAAGTGTTCTCTTAGTTTAAATCAATATCTATCTTTAATGTACCACAGTTACAGCATCTTCAAACTGACCTCTAGTGGAAGAGATAAGGAGTATTGTAGCATTCAGTTGGTGATTTACCAGCATCATCAGGATGAGTGTTGGCATCTGCTTCTAAGTTTGTGCATTTTCAAAAAGAAAATTTGCTGTACTCTTTCTTCTGCCTTTGATGGCTGAAGCATCTGACTTGACAATAGGGACAGCATTCATTTAAGCAGTCAAAGTTCATATTTTCTGKTTGCTTTGATGGGACTTAATGCAGTACTTTAAAAATGCATATGGTGTGATTCCTCTGCCAGCACATTGTCATTTCGGATTATTAGGAAGAAATGAAACTCATTGTTCTAGCAATGAGCAAARTGAAGAGACAGAACTTGATTGTTGACACATTCAGAGCTTAATCCAAATGCAGATCCTGTGCCTGTGTGTTTATTTGCTGGACAACACCTTGGCTCGACTCTTGATATGTTCAGGAGCATGATTGGAAATCAAAGACCTTCTCTTAAACAAGAAAATAGCAACGTGATTTTCAAGAAAGAGTAAACTATTTCTCTCCTTCTCCTGTTTGCCCAGGAGCAACAGGSATTGAAGATCGGCTGCAAGATGGAGTACCTGACACCATTGTGGCTCTCCGAGAAGCTGGGATACAAATCTGGGTGTTGACAGGAGACAAACAGGAGACAGCAGTTAACATTGCATACTCCTGTAAACTCCTGAACCAAAGGGACACTGTCTTCACCATTAACACTGAAAATAGGGTGAGTAGAGAAAGACAAAATGCACAGCATTTGTTATCTTGCCCTTTCTTTGTGTCTTGTTTTGCTTTAGACATCACAAAAGCAAAGGTGTAAAAATCCTCAAGTCAAAAAAACCATAGCATTAGGCCAGAAACTCTGTAGACCACACATAAAGGGTGAATTGAAATGCAAGACATTTATGTAGAGTTTCGTTCAATTAGAATATACAGACTTTTCCAAATGCAAATATTTTTTTTAAAAATTACCTGAACTGCTAGCTATTACCTGAATTAGTAGCTTTGGGAGGAAGGTAATATGCAGTTTAAGTGCCTAATGCCTTAATAGCATGAATATCTAGATTTTCACCTTACAATGGAAATATCAATTTAACTCTAGGTGATACCTGTTAGAAGACATTTGCAAAGTGTTGTGTGAGTCAGCCAAAAAAGTATGAAGGTGTAGATTTAACCAAATTCAGAACTTTCTCGTTGCTTGTTCCCTAATAGGATTTGACTCAATCTGAAATTTATTAGCAAAAAAATGAATCCAGTGTCTCTTTGTTTAAGCAGGCGTTGGGTAAAAACACGGTCACTGTCTTGAYGCTCCATGGTGGCACACAGACTTGTTGATGTGCACAGATATTCCCTGAATTTCCACAGGCAGTAGGCAAGGCAAACTGAGGGTCATCATGTCAAGGGCAGGTCTGTCAGCTGCTGTGGGTCACTGAAACTCAGTGAGCAATCTGTGGAGCAATCCATGGCTGTTCCTGACAATATCTGAGCAGGAAAGAGGAAATTGAGTCCTCACTTCCAAAGAGGGTAAATGACATTATGGGTGGTGAAAGTAAAAGTTTTTAGACAAGACAAATTTAAACATCCAAGCTGGATGTGGAGCAATACTAACAGAGCACCAGGAAAATCATCCCTTTATGTGAGAAAATGCAATTGTCACCACTGTGCTCAGCCTCACACTTCATCTCTCCAGGCACACAGGAGGGAGAGGTGGCTCTATGGGATGGATTATGGGGACAGGCACTACGGTTAAACCAGACCCATTTGCTAAGGAAGGTCAGCCCTGACCATTTCTAAACCCAAAATGGTCCAAAATGCCAGCTGTGATGGCCTTTCTGAATTTTCTTGCTGGTGACCTCTTACTTCCCCATAGAGCCCTGAAAGACCCTGAGGTGTCCCCTGAGCAGCTGCTGCCTTTTTCCTGCTCCTTTTTTTTTTTGCAGCATCCCTCATGGCCCCTGTTTAGCAGGGGGCACAGTGAGTTCAGCCTTTCCACGGGTTGGCACGAGGCTGTGGAGGGCAGGCAGGGCTTCCAGACAAATCACCCGTCTCGCTTGTCTCAGCTTTTCTCCCCACAGAACCGGGGTTACCAACACACACTTGCTTTTCTTAATAAAGCTATTGTGAGGATTAATTAAATATAGTTATAGTATTGACTGCACAGAGCAGTGAAATGGCCTACTTTCTAAGTGCTTTTGTCTGCAGCTAGTAGCTCTCCAAACGAGAATAAAATCCTATGCAAATGTCTGTCTCTTTTAATGTCACGGAAATGGAGAAACACGCAAGGATGATGTGGAATCTGGCACAGAAAAYATTCCTTGCTTCAATGTGTAATTTCATTTGCTACACATATCTGCTTTAAGGGGAGGCAGAATGAATGCATTTAGGATGGAAATTAGAAGGGGGTTTCTGCCAGAGCAGTGATGCTGCAGGCGGGACCACCCCGGCTCGGGAAACGCTGGCACGGGCACTTCACCACAGCAGCTTCTGTGGATCAGATCAGGAGCTCAGGGATCCCGGCTCAGGAGCAGCCTGCACTCACATGAGRGCTTGTGGGGATCCCCATGGTTCAGGGAGCACCGGAGTTTCTCCACAATGTGATTTAACTCCCTCTGGTTCAAAGTGAAACCAAAGACAGACRCTGGTTCTGAAAGAGGCTCTCCATAGCAGCAGTGAGGAACACAGGTAATACAAAGCATTTAAACTGTTCATTTTGCCAAAGTTAGATCTTGAAGTGGTTTCAATGTGAAGGGCCTCTCTTTACCCCCTGAGCCCAGCAGATTATTCAAACACTGAAAATTAWATCTTCCAGGAAGATGCAACATAAGTAGGTCTCTTGGGGAATTCATCTCAAAAGGCAAGCCAAGGCAAACCAGGAATTTCCACCACCGTTTTTGGTTTGTTCACAGAAAGATGATGCTTCTTCAATATTTTTTAGAGGTTTTAAGTGTGCAGGCTAGATGCAGGTTTTTATTAGATGTCAGAGGTACATTTGATTCCAGAACCTCCCACTTAAGTGTAATTTAAATCTTGCAAACATCCTACACATGTACCTTATGCTACATAAAGTGAAAATAACATTTTAGAACTGAATCATCACTCAATAAAGCTGGCAGGAAAGGTAGAAAAAGGAATTATTAGCTCCTCAGGTATTCAAGGCCATACCACAGAAGGACTTTCAGTACTAAGAGGGAGCAAAATAACTTGGAGATCATTTTGGGTTTTCTCTGCCAGTTTRGGAGATCTGGATGGGAGAGGTAAGAGTGCTCCCCTTAAATCTGTTTCTGCTACCAAGTCAATTCCAGTTGTTGGTGTCTAAAAGGAGAATTGATCCAAAATGAAGCAGATTTGCTGAGAGAAGGATTCTGTGTTTGAGGCAGAGTGCTGGGAAATACGAAGTTTTATTTCTGTTCCTAATTGTGACACATGCCTGATACGTGACTTGGAAAAGGCCAGACTCTGAAAGTTACTGGGCAATTTTGAAACCTTGAATCTCTTGTTTCTTTACCACAGTTTATTTCTTATGGAAGCCAGTGCTGCAATATCTCATGTCATTYATGTCAGAAATGATAGATTTTTCAATCTCCTTTAAAAAAGAAGGATTTTCTTTTTAATTTCTGAACTCTCATCATAAAAGCACAWGTCCTCCTCATGTAAAGATTATTTTATTCTCTTTTCAAATAATTCCTTACTTCAATTAAATAGCTGATAAAATGTGCAGCRTTTGGAGGAGGATTTGATGGCATCATTGAAATAATCTCCAATCGGATGGATCAGTGCATTTCTCAGACAGTTTTCCCTAATGTTTATCTGATAGGCTTATACCCACTGGCAGGATTGCCARCATACAGTTGGCAAGGTGCTGAGCTGCAAAGGGAGATGGAGATAACTATTTCTAGAACCACGTCTGTTTTCTCACAGGAAACCTGCGAATCTCTCCTGAATTTAACCCTGGAAGAGGTGAGGAAGAATTACGAGTTTGACAAGCCACGGAGGAAATTTTTTGGCATTATCCCAACATCTTGCTCAGCCTCAGAGGCGCCCAGCCCCGAGTTTGGGCTGGTGGTTGATGGGAGGACGCTGAACATCATCTTCCAGGGAGGGCTGGAGGAGAAGTTCCTGGCACTAACGCGGCACTGCCGCTCGGTGCTCTGCTGCCGCTCCACCCCGCTGCAGAAGAGCATGGTGGTCAAGCTGGTCCGGAGACAGCTCAAAGTGATGACCCTGTCCATAGGTACCTCCCCTCTGAGTCCACAGGAGAAAGGGGAAGCGGGTTCTATCTTTAAGGGAAGTGTGTGGGATATATTGTAYGGGCTGGTTTTTTGTGCCTCAGATAGATGCAGGGAACAAACAGCTCTGAACAATCCTTCCTGATCAAAACCCATATAAAAGTCCTTCTTCAGCTTTCACTGAGCGTATCTGGCCCCCCTTTAAACCAGATGAAGGCACTCCAAATTCAGAATCTCCCGGCAGTCCCTTTCATGTACATCAGCACAAACACAAGTACATATTCCCTCTGGAATGTTCTTGCTTTGGGCCTGGAAAGCGCTCAAGAGTAGTCACTATTTGGTCTTTTTATAAAACCCTTTTCCTGTCAGATTTTCCCAACTGGTGAAAACAGAGYTATCTCCAGAGTGGTATTAAGCACTGACTCATTTGCCTTTTACCTCCAAATAATATGAAAYGCTTTGAATTTTCTGCCTCATTTTTGGTAAGTGATGCCACTAAAATCCTTGCAGAATTGATTTAGATKACTTCAGGCTAAAAAAATACACCTTTGTGGACCAAACAGAAAAAGAAGAGCCTGTTGTATTTTAAATTTTTTTTGCTTTGCTTTACAGTTCAAAACATAAGTTTTCAGCCTTCTGCTTCGCTTACTTTACCAGCTAAGCTAATTTACAATCTCCACACTGCAAGCAGCAAGCATGGCTGTTCTTTCCCTGGAAATTTGGTTACGTATTTAACATATTGCAAGTTGAAATGAGCAAAATAATTCCTAAAACTGGCTTGTTACATTGTCATCTGCCATCAGATTTGTCATAAATTCAAAGAATTCAGGGAAGCRGGGTGTTGCAAAGCCTGTTCCTGACCATATGGAGCTGGCCAAGCAGAAACACAGCAATGCAGATGTGGATGGTGTTGGGGTGGCTCTGTCACCACCCWGCTGGTCCCAGTGTTGGGCTGGCCCTGGGGGAGCCAGGTCTCCTGGGAAGGAGGGAGGATATTCCTGCCAAGATCAGAGCCCAGAGGTCATGATTGCTTCATTCCAAGTGTGAGTTCATCTGATCAAGATGCAGGGTAGTACAGAATGGTTGAGATAATCAGCATAGCTMGGATTATTTYCTTCTTCTGATACAAGCACWCTGTRTTAAACACTTTTATTTTCCCCTCCYGTCTTCCCATCCTAGGGGACGGTGCAAACGATGTGAGTATGATTCAAGCAGCTGATGTTGGAATTGGAATATCTGGCCAGGAAGGCATGCAGGTACCCTCTCAGTTTATTTCCTTTCCTCTTTTGTCAGGTAGTCCCTTGCGGCTTAATAAGCTTCATAGCAGCCCTACACGCTCAAGTGTCATCTTAAAAATGCAAGTTGGCATCATAAATTAATATGCAGTTCATAATTATGGGTCCAGCCAAAGAAAAAGAGCATTTTGAGCCAGCAATTAGCATGCGTGGACAAACCTGTGTTTGCTCATGAGCCTGGAAAATTAGCAGATGTCKGTCCAGTGTTCGGGGAGCATCTGGTTTCTGAATCCCCTCAGCTGCTGCATTTCCTGGATTTGTGGATTCTCTTCCACTCTTTTCTGCCCTGAATTCTTTCCCACACATCCCCCTTCCTCCTTCTCCTTAAATGGAGAGTTCTGCAAGGATAGAAAGTCCTAACTATGTTCTTGAGGTTTAGTTTGTTGGTTTCTTTCTTTTACAATAGTCAATAGTAGAAAATTGTTTCAACACCCATGTACAAATTCCATTACATACAGCATGAAAAGAATGTATTATAAATGACCTTCTGTTCCTTTTCCCAAAGGCTGTGATGGCCAGTGACTTTGCAATATCCAGATTTAARCACCTCAAAAAGCTCCTTCTCGTCCATGGACATTGGTGCTATGCTCGCCTGGCTAAGATGGTGATTTACTTTTTCTACAAAAATGTGGTAAGATTATTAAAATTATGAAGTTTTCATCCTAACAAAGATTAATTCGAGGGCTGGGGGCTTTTTTGTTTGGTTTGTTTTGGGTTTTGCAGTTTATACTGTTAATTTTTATGAAGCTACAGCTTGCTTTTCTTCACTTTGCAGGGAACTATAATACACTCCTTCCTCCTTAGCAAAGTGCTGCAGAGAACATTGAGGAAAATATGGGCTCTAAGTAGGTTTTGAAAAAGCATTATTCCAGAGGGGAAAAGGACTCAAGGCTTAGTAACTTTATATGGTAGCTCAAGAAACTTTATTAGTAATACCCATGAGCCTCAAAATAAAATTTGCATAAGGAAGATCAGATTATTAGCACTCGAATGTAGAAGATGAGTCTGCACTAAGAATTTYTTGCCTGTGAAATCTCTAAATTTTGATAGGAACCACTTGCAAGTGATGATGCAGTCATACCTGGCATTTTTATTAAAAATTTAATGTATATGCAAATGAGCTGTGCATTGAAGTATAATATAAAGTGGAAAAAAATGTAGTAATTCAGTTTCTACAAGACTGAGCAAACAAGTCCGTTTGACATGAAATACACTCTGAGCATGAAAGGCTATTTACTTAGAATTCAAAGTATCTGTTTCTTGTGGAGTTTTTAATAATTYTGAATAAGGATTACTTCTTATCACTGCTAAAATTTGTAGCAAAATGAACKCTTTCTTTTTTTTGATTGGACATCCTTTTATAGTTCAAAGGATATTTATTTGGAATGTGAAATAGTTCTCCAGACTGGGATGCTGCTGTTCTTTTATCTCCCCAGCAGCAATAGGGAGCACCAGGCCTTTGATTCTGCATGGACAACGAGTTTGTAAAAGGATTCTAAAATCTGCTGCTCAGGGCTGTGAACAGTTTACTTAATTATTCTCTGATGTGTTCTTAAAGAAACCTAATGGCTTTTAAAAAGCTGTATCACAGSAGATCACTGTGGAACAGGCCCTTAAGATATATTGCTTTATGGAATGAATTGCAAGGCCCTTAACCAAAATTGTGTTTTCTTAGGAGAGTCTGTTAATGACCAATGTCCCACATAAACTTCCCAGGTGGAATTGTGTGTTTGTTTGCTTCTCCCCAGTGCTACGTCAACCTGCTCTTCTGGTACCAGTTCTTCTGTGGCTTCTCAGGCAGCACCATGATAGATTACTGGCAGATGATCTTTTTCAACCTCTTCTTCACCTCAGTGCCTCCCCTTCTCTTTGGAGTCCTGGATAAAGATGTTTCTGCAGAAACACTCCTAGGTTTGCCTGAGTTGTACAAAAATGGGCAAAATTCAGAGGTATGTCATGATTGCTGAAATAACCGCTTGATAATCCAAAGGACCAGAGGGTTTTTTGTTTAGGAAGGTGGGAAGGAAGAAAAGAGTTTAGACTTATTTGGAACGTTAAAACAACAGGAGCYCCCAACCTTCTGCCACTCCAGTAATGCATCCCACTCTATGGGAGCTGTGACCCCATAGGTCACTGGTTATGTTTAAATATGACAAATGGTCAAATTAAAATGGCACGAGTAAGTGTTTCGATAGAAGACAGGATTTTTGACCAATTCTGTAGCTCTAGAAAGAGCTTTGATAAAGAATTTGAGGAAGAAGATCCTTTGGGAAGAGATGCGACATTGATGAAATTCAGCTTTTAARGCTCTTGGTTGACTTGTTAATATTCCTAAGGTCTATCTTTACTTAACACAGAGAAAATGCCTGTGCAGAGATAAGCCTTTGGTTTAATCAGCTGCCTCAGGAGGCATTTACTCATGGAGGGAGAACAGTCAGCAATAATCAGCTGTCTGAATGGAAGAAAAACAGGYAGCAATTATGTTTGCAGGACAGGCTAGATATGTGTGTCCCATCATAATGACTGTGATCTATAAACTCCTGCAGATATACAACCTGTCAACTTTTATTATTACGATGTTGGATGCCTTCTATCAGAGCCTCATTTGCTTCTTTGTCCCTTATTTGGTAAGTAACAGRCTCATTAATATTCTCACTCTCCCATCCTCCTTGAAAGTAGAAAATCCAGTTCTCAATAGTCAGGGTCCATCAGTCTCTCTGCCTGTTTTGCAGATGTACAAGGACTCTGACATAGAGGTKTTTTCCTTTGGAAACCCCATCAACACCATCTCCCTCCTGACCATTCTCCTGCACCAGGCTCTAGAAATGAAAACATGGGTATGTGTTTGACCTGTCCTGCTCTCAACACTGTTGTTTTYTTGTGAGCATAGCATCCTGTGTAGGCAAGAAATTCTCTTTCAGAGTCATTTGCCTGAATTCTGGGTCACAAAAAGCAAGCAACAGGTGCACTGAGATTTCACAAGGTGCCAGAATTTGGTGTTAGCTCCAGCTTAACTGTTTYATGTGCACAGTGACAGAATTTGTTTTACCATGCCTTTGGACAGGACAGTACACAACACTTGCATACCTCAATATATCAGGATGTTTTACTTAGAGAACTGTATTCACTGTTGTTTTCAAAGTTCATTTCTGGTTATTTCTCCTACTGATTTCAGTAAAATGCACTGTTAGATGCCTCCCTTCCAAATGCCTTTTTCTCCTCCTGGCTTTCCCCCAGCCAGGCTCTCACAGGCATCCCCTAATTTCGTGCACTTGTTCTTGCAGACCCTGCTCCAGCTGTTGACCATGATCTGCAGTGTGGCCTTTTACCTCATCTTCTCTCTGATCTACAACTCTGCCTGCGTGCTCTGCAACCCTCCCTCCAACCCCTACTGGATCATGGAGAGGCAGCTGACAGACCCCATCTTCTATTTGCTGTGCCTCATCACCCCRGCCATCGCGCTCTTGCCCAGGTTTGGATGTGTTTTCCTCTCTGTTCTCCTTTTCTGGATTTGTGGGCACGTGAGTGAAGGAACAATAACGATGTGTACAGCTATGGGATGAGTCAGGCACGTGTGCTGCACAGGGATAATTGATCAGTGTGGAAATCAGATGGGTTCAACCTTCCAGTTCATGAACCATTCATTTTTCAGTTATATAACCCTAGAGGAGTCACTGTATATATTCTGCTTTATTTTCCCATCAGGAAAACCTTTCTTTCTGGGGTGCATCAAAGTTTACCAATACATATCTGCTACATAATTGTTCATTGTCATAAACAAAATGTTGCTGAGCTGATCAAGACTGGAAGCAAGTCTTTAAAATATTCCTGTATGTTTGRGAGTTACTAAATACATTCTGGTTTTTAAGCACATTATGGTGCATTACTAAGCTGAATTTATGAGTGTTCCTGTATGAAAAAAATTTACTGCATCCAGAATTTTAGTTTTACTCTGTATTGCAACAAATCGGATCTGTTAAAGATAACTTTAATTGAGACTGGATAATATTTGGAGTGGGGTAATTATTGTGATGTGTTGCTGAAAATAATTGGTTTCAAAACATAATTATTCTGTTCCCATGAATGTATATGAGAACCTTACTACTTTTGGTGCTCAATACCTTACTAATTCTTTAAGCAGAGGTTTTGTTGGAATTGCACCATTTATTTCAAGTTTTATTTTTTATTTGCTTGGACATTGAAAGAAATGGGTTAGTTTGACTCTCTTACTAGTTTCCTTCTCCTCCTAATTCCCATGCAGCAGTGCAGCACACTGGTATTACAAAATTCAGGAAAATATTTTTAGTATCCGATTTTGTAAGTGCTTTAAGGCATTAGAATCTGAGCCTTAACTTTGCCTTGAAWAGGAACCTTTCAAGACAAGATGGTATTTTTCTTCAAATTATTATTATTATTTTCCCATTTGAGTTGAGATGCTCTTGTGATTTCATGTTACATTATATAAGTTCAGATCAGAATAAGCAACACAGTTCAGTAAGGTCYCATGTCTTCTAGGCAGTGCATCCTTTTCCAGCCTGTTTTGCTCCTGTGTGATTTTTGTTTTCCTATCAGCCCTCATTCACAGTGTCATTTTTGACCCTGAGCTCTCTACTGAGAGCTGCATCTAACACGTGGTTAGAGAACTCGTGTCTCCATCTTGGGAATTCAGCACAGCTGAGATCCTTGCTGCCTCAGCAGGTTACTGAGCTTAAGGGTTATATCTTCATGTTTTCAAAGCTGGAGTGCTGCTGTTTCTCCGTGCAAGAACCCYAGATTATTTCCTGCAGAGTCTTTCATCCACAGACTATCCAGCTCCCATGTTCTGCTACAACTGAGCTGTGCCAGCAGATCACAGCAGTGGTGAAACCCCTCTTTGCTAAAATGCACTGAATTCTTTGTTCCATTCCATGGTCCCTCTCACTGTGCTGCCTGCTCCTCACCTGAGCACAGTCACAGCAAAAAGGGTTCACCCAGTCCTGCTTGTGCAAACCTGAGAAATCCATTGCCTCAAAAGCCCTTTCTGCACTTGTTAGCCTTTTTAATCTTGTTATTGTTTGTTTGTGCCCACATTTAGCAGGAGGATGTGAGGATGGCAGCTTTCTCAATGCAATTTCACAMAGTACTCATGTTTGTTTTAAAATACATGTTGAGGCACCTATGTAAAGGTCAAATCCTAATAAAAAGATGCTTTGAAAGAGGCTTTGGTTTTCCCACAAAGCTGGCATGACATGGAGAGAAGATGCATGCTCTCTCWCACAGCACACAATGTTTAGTTACATAAATTCTCTATCCTGCAAAGGGCAGGTAGGACACTTTTTTGTTGCTGCTTTCTGAACAAATCCAAAASCTGACCTTTTTAATATCTGTTTTTTTCTTACCTAACAAATTAAGATCCCTTCTTTAGCAGTATAAATACAACTCCAATCTTTTCAAATATTGCCTCTCTCGGTGAGATTTTGTCTATTTTTCTTCACTGTTCAGCAACCAGGTAATTATAAGTTATAAACAAATGATCATATGTAATATAATTGACTCTGCACAGGTCAAGGTGAGTGTATAGTCAAGGTTGTGTTAAGATCCAGGAGTCAACTTTCATCTGCCAGGTATAAGGTGTCTACCAGGTGTCTAGTGGAAAATCAGTATCTGGATTTGGGATATGTGATGCAAATTATTGAAGGAGACCACTGGTAAAACAATGCATTTTCTTTGTCCTTCATCAGGTTCTTTATTTTGGCTCTAAGAGGAACCTTTGGAGCATCTCTGGTTCTGAAGGCACAGCAAGTAGAGAAACTTCCTAAGGGGCAACAGGATCTTGAAATCCAGAAACTGAGATCAAGAAAAGAAGCTCCTTCTGGTGCASCAGTGGCATCACCTGCATCTAATGATGACCTTGACCAAAGCATCAGCCACTTATGTGCATCACCCTTTCTACACCCAGCAGCAGCAGCTGTGTCTCACAGGCACACAGAAAACCAGGGACTTTCTGCCTCTGAAGGGAACCCTCTCAGGAGACGGACACCTGAGGAAGGCTTCTGCTTCTTTAATCGGTGGGCAGAGGAAGAATCTGCTGCTACAGACTCTTCAGCAGGGCCTTTRTCTGGCCATCATCCCCTTGTGCCCATCAGGGAAACAGCTCCTGGGCAGGATGGTGGCAAACTGACTAAAGATTACCCCAACAACTTTAACTACGGCAGCCACCGGCGCTCAGTGAGTTCAGTGACACTCTGAAGAAACATTCAGAAACAGGACCCACAGCCCATGTGTAAAAGGACACCACAGGGACAATAAAAAGTCTATTTATGCTTAGGCATGGTGCTCACTGGAAATGGAGGGGGAGGCAAGTGGAGTAGTGCAATAGCAACTCTAATATGCAACTTTTCCCAAATGCATCGTGGTCTGGGTTTGTCATTGCATGTCTGGATCTTCCTGGCTTGGTCGTGTTAGAGGAGCATCACATGAGCATCACACACCATTGCTGAGAATTGCACAATTACTTCCTTTCAACCATTTTTGTATCACATTAATAGGGAATACTTGTGAGGTTTCAGTGTTGTTGTTATTATTATGTTATTGAGGTAACAGAAAGAGAATACATTCTTTATTAAACCAAGTCTTAAAGCAATGCATCCCACTCTAGATTTTACTATCAAAATCTTCAAAAGTGCTTGCTAACTTAAAAATTATAATTCTGTGTGAAAAAATTTGTTACCTCCAAGTGCTAAAGGTACTTGCAGAATAACAGCAATGGAAAGACACTAAAGAATGATACAGGTTTTAATATATGTACTTTATGCATACAACAATATCAGGTCTAGAGCCTGTTTTCCCCGGAAGAGTAAGCTTAGAATTTTTATGCAGGTAGTGGTTTGACCTGATACTGTTAAGAAAAGGACAAATGAGCTTATAAAGAAGAAGAATACAAATACTGAGCTACAAGAACTGCCAGGATAACTCAGTGATAAGTGGAGTCAACTTCTGCATACCTACAAAAGTAGACAGATATAACAAGTCACATTCCAGGATTTATGTCCTAAAATTCTAAAGTTGTCCCTGATTTTTCATCTAGAAATTCAGTTTCTTCCTTCCATACCCTATATTATTATGTGSTGCTGCTGCATTCAATCAAGTATAAATCATGCTCCTCCCCACAGTTGGTCACATTCATTAGTTGATGGATCTCAATAATAGAGGTTTTGACAAGCCMTATATGAAGGTCACTAATCACATTGCAGTAAGTACATGGTGTAAAATGACCAAAATATGCATAATATGTTCACCCTTTTTTGGTATTTCAGGGCAACAAGATGCAGGAAAAAAACCATAAGATGTCACCATCATCACTACTTATTGCAATGCAATGAAAGGTGACTTTGGTATTTCTTATAGAAATGTTGACTAGTAAGAYCATTTCCCAAGTTTTCTTCACGATGTGGGATGAAATCTTACCTAGTTTTAAACTCAAGCCATCTGTACTTTTGTGAATCTACCACTGTTTCTGATTTAATAGGTTTTTAGCCTTTTTTATACCTGCTGTATTTAGCTATTTACCACCATTACAAYACGTGATCTGTCTAATAACCTATTTAGCAAATGCTAATTTAACTTTTGTGTATTATAATAATTACTGTATCCAGTCTTCAAGTTCTTGCTTTGAAGCATCACAGGCAAAATSGAGTAGCATATCTGCCACTGGGATTTCTGGTAGCAAGAGCAAGATCATATGTAGAACTCCAYTTGTTAAACTATTAATTGTCAGCTGTAAAACAATTCAGAAAGAGATTTCTTTTGCATGATGAACAAAATGAAGGAAATTAGGTGTAGCTGAGATTATTGCTAATGGAGTGTGAGATTGCTCAAATGTTTGCTCACTAGCTGGGAATGGACCTGGGGTGACAAGCCTGAAGATCAAGCCTTTACCATTCATAGCCATGTTTTTGCATTAAATGGTCCATTTCCTTTGAACTTAAAAATGTCARTTCCTTACACACTTTATTACAAAATGTGAAGTGTTTTATAGCAATAAATGTAATATGGTCGTGACTTGGTGTGTCATTGGGAGGACAAAAACAGAGGCGAAGGAGCACTTTTCCTAATTTCATCCATGAGCAGCAAACCCACGTTTCCAGAGGCTGCTCCTCTGTTTAGTAGGAATGCTTATCAGAAGAACTGGGTGACAAATTCATCTCAATGTGCAAGGGGCCAGACAGGTTATGTTTAACCAGATCTGGAAGATTTCCTAATTGAATGCTGGTTTATGCATTGCTGAATTGAAGACCAAGAATTAATTTCGTGTTTTCTCATCACAGTTTGTGCAAAATGGTTCTACTGTGCATTTTGTCCTGATAGCTGGGCTTAAGGTCAGAAATGGCAGAGGGGACAGTCTTTTTAAGGTAAGGAGGGAAAGAAGAATTGATTCGGACCTCCAACAAAATAATACCTATGAGCTCTTTAGTGTTGGAGTTCCTGCTATGTCAGGGAATGACAGAAATGGGAGACTCCTTTTCCAAGTAGTTTCTAGGCTTTGACTAAAAATAGTTTCTTCAGTTAAAAAAAGAAAGAAAGAATCCAATTTTGCATGGCTGCCTTAAATAATTCTATAGCTAAACCTAAAAAATGTTACTTCTGTTGTGTGGTAGATGAGACAAATGGTCCAATGGATGAATTTATCTGGAGATTTGCAACAGAGAGGAAAACCTTGGTTTTCCTTGATYCTTGAGGAGAGAGAAAGCTGAAATAAACAGAAACAAAAGGCAGCAGGGTGAAGGCTTGGSCTCTGCACTCCAGCTGGCCCCAGAGGTTCAGGTAGCTCCCCTGGTGGGTGACAGCTCCCAGCCCTGCTCGGAGCAGACACTGCCACAGTTCAGGACTCACATTCACTGCTGAGCAAAGTGATCTTCCCTGTGCTCCTGGCTATGCACTCACCATGAACTATCTCATGTTAAAAAGATGGTGAACAGGCACTTTCTTCCCTTTGATCATGAGGTAAATTAGCTGAGACTATCCATCCTTTTGGGAAGCAAGATCAAGAGGAAAACTTTTTTTTTTTTTCCAGTGAAAGCAAGCCTACAGCAAGACAGCCAGTCCCCTAAGGGATTTATTTGGAAGAGGGGAAGTGTATTTACTAAATGGGTTATTTAGACCTAACCGGATTTCCAAGGTAGCTTTATTTATTTATTTCAAAACACATTTAATAATACTGTCAAGGTCCATGTTCCATTAATTCTAATGTGAATGCTTCATAGCAGAACAGGTGTCTCACTTTTTAATGTATCCTCTGGTGATATTCAATATTTCATACACTTGGAAACTAAAACATTAAAATAATGGGGCCATGTGTGAAATTACTGCATTCTTTTTATTCTGTCTATGATAATATTATAACAATGACAATGGATATGAAGCAGTGCTTTGAGCTACACAGAGCTGTACCTGAGTGACAAACTGGAGGTGGCACCTYGCTCAGAGGTGAGCAGGAGCCAGTTCTGCTGGCTGAGTGACAGATTCAGTCTCTGCTGCTTGCAGTGGTCACTGCAGAGCCATCCCTCGTGTCCCAACACAGGCAGGTTCTGTTCTCTTTTAACACGAGATGTGGGAAATGCAAACACACAAACACCTTGTTCATGCCTGTCTCAACACAACAAGCTGGAGATGTCTCTGACAGTTAGAGCTGATCATCTGCTGCAAATCAGCAATAACTGTGCAGACCAAAACCCAGAACTATTCAGGTGGGAGAGAGGAAGGAATCCAGTTCGTTGCTTTTCTTCAATATCTCAGTCTTAAACCCCTGTGTTTTGTGCTGGAGCAAGGTGCACAGCTACTTTCCCAAGCATGAATTGCATCTATTTTGCCACTTGGTTGGCTGATGCTGCAATGTTTAATTAAATTGTTTGATTGCAGTTTGAGGTGGTGTATGAGCACAGAGCTATTTGCTCTAGGGATAGGGTGACTGCAGGCACAACGTGGCATGATTAGGCACTGATGAGTAAAAATATAAACGTGGAGACATGAGACTCTTGAAGGTAAGGATCACAGAGGGTGGGATCTAGAGASATGACCAAATAATACTGAAGGTCTATAAAGTACTTTTGACATTGCCAGTGACTGGAACTTGCTGCAATTATCAGAACATGAGATAACTGCACACAGGGCTTGCTGTCTGCCTGTTTAGTGTAAAACCTGCTTATTCTCATTTATATAAACAAGACTGAGACTGAATGGAGTCTGAATCATTCTTCTTCAACAAATGTCAKAGAGGTTGTGGTCTGAAGGCACTGAAGGCCAGGATTATGGCCCACCCACATTTACCACATTCCCAGGGCAGCTACTGAGGTGTGCTCCCACCTCCAGCCATACTTTGTGTGCCAGTGTCCAGAGAGCTGGTGTGGTTATTGTGTCCTTCAGCAGGACAGCAGAGCCCTATAAATTATCARCATAAATAACTAAAGGACAAGGTTTGGCTCCACAGAAACTGAATTTTGACCTTCACAGAAACCAGGTCATGCTGCTGTTTTGTTGTTGTCATTACTGCTCAACACCATAAAGTTGAGACAAAATTTTTATGGGACTGGGAGGGAAAACAGTAAAAATATTTGCAATAAGTAGCCAATGCAATGGAGGAAGAGTCTAAACACAGATGGTGCCTGCCTTTTGTATGCTTGTATTCCTCCCTGTTCTACTAACATTATTCTATTTAACCTCAAACAGATCATTTGGGGAACTTCTGTACATTTACTGCTTTTATTCAAACAAGGACAAACGTAAATCAATAGACTGCAGGCAGGTCAGTGGAACTCATTTGAAATCAGCTGGATTCAGCTGGAGTTTTATTGGTGTCTGTTTTGTTTTTGTTAAAACTTTAATTCCAAAGACTTTTGCCAGGAAGAAAAGACATCTACATATGCCCAACCTGAATGGTTCCTCTCTCACAATATTTAGGCAGATTGTGACCASTAATGTCATGGACTAAATCAAGATCTGAGGAGCAGAGCAGACTCTTCATTCTGTTCCTGTGGACGTGGGGTGGAGCGGGAGGTGGACCAAGAAATACCAGACCAGGAGTGCACAATAATGAGAAAGGAAGAGCATGAGCACATCCAACACCTTCTGGAGCTTTCCAAAGTTCTCAAGCAGCTTTCAAGCATTGTTCAGAGGTCACTCAGGGCTTTAAGTGCTCATCTAAGACGTTTTATGGGTAAAACAAGCCAAGAGAGCATCCATGTGTGTTCTTGGTTCCGTGCAGACACTGTGAGGAGTGGCCACACTTTTGCAGTAACTAAAATTAACTCACTTTTAATCGTGTTCTGAGGGGAGGTAACGCTGTAGAGATTCAAATGCGATTTCTCMGAAATTTCAAATGTATATAAATTCTGGGAATCTCTTCTTAAGATCCTTTGCTCCATTTCATAATCTTCAATTTCACAGCAAGGAAGGAATACAGTCCAGAGACATCAAAGAACCAGAATTGTGCTTCCAGCTATTAGTCTTAGATGAAAAAAACCAAAGCTAAAATTTAGAGCCCAAAGGATTCTAACTCTCCAGCACTTTTCAATAATGGAGTCCAGGCACACATCAAATAAATATTTTAAGTCCTAATACTGATTTTGAAGGCAGCTTWTTTAAAAAGAATGTTCTGGCAATAYRTGTGCATTTGACTTCCATTCAAYTAAAATTTAWAATTATTTGMAGTTTCTTGAGATTACTTAACTGGTTCTCTGTCATATATCTTCACAGAATCAAACAACAGCTGTCTGTCTCTGGAGAGAAAGACAACCTATGTCACCTATTTGTCTACCCAAGTCTTTTAAACCAAAAAAAAACTCAGACTCAAACCCTGTGAGAAATGAGATTCCCCCTAGAGTAGGGTGTGCTTGAGGAGAACTTGCCGACTGGAGTTTTGAAGATTCATCCACTATCTGTCATCCAAATAAAGTTTTTCTTCACTTTTAGTGTATAGAAATATATCACAGTAATGGTAGGGATCCAGAGCAAGCTCATATGCTGTGATAAATGACAGGACTTCCATGGTGTTCAAAGCATTATCAGAATCCATTTCATACCTCATCTGTTATTATAAGCATAAAATGTGCAAAAGTTCCCCACTGCTGTAAATGTCAGCATGCTGGGGGCAAATGCTTTGATTTTCTATCAGCAAATAATGTTAAATTATATAGTGTTTAATCATGCTTGGTGAGAGTGATGAACTTTAGGGAACGAGTTTCCTTCCAATCACTCCATCTTCAGCTCTCCTGAAAATGGATGGCATCGTTTATAAAATCCTGAAAATAACTTCCGTAGCCTTGAGGCTTCCTGATGGTTCAAGGCTGATGTGGAGCACTAAAATGCAAACCATTTACATGTCAGCATTATTTTGATTGAGGAAATCAGGCATTTGAGCAYATAATTTGAAAGTTAACTTTGGAAATCAGAACCCTCTGTTTTTCTGGCACCTCTAGGCGGTGAAATTATCTGCTTTTATAGAAGAGTCTACATTRCCTGGTATGACACAACCTCAAAACTGCTGATTTCTAAATAAAGCAGTTGCATTACCAGGCCAGATTGTAAGTGGTTGGAAGGTAGGAGTGCTCCACTGGAGTATCTGGAGGTCTGGGGTTTCATATGTGTGGAAAATCTCACCTCCACTCCCCACCTGCTCCTTCCAGAAGGAAAGGKGCAGGTAAAGGCATGGAGGAGACTTGTGCAGGGGTTAAAGAATATAAAATGTCAAGTCCCAAAGGCACAGAGGAARGTAATACTGGCAGTATCTTAGCAACCAGAGAAACTACAGGAAAAGCTGTGCAGAGAAATCAGCTACAGCACCTCTATAAACTCTCTCTAGATTATATTTATGTGTTTCTGAAACTGGATTGTTAATCACAGTATTTGAAAATACAAAATTTTTTGTTGGAGGRCTTCATCATCTTTGGTTTCTGCTGAGGGGAGCCACATTTCTGTATTTGGATCAGTTATTACTAATTTATTAGAGCAATTTCATGAGCCCATGCCAGACCTGAAGGGCAGATTGGAAGAGACAGCAGAGTTCTC